CGATAAATTAATACAACCAAGACTGAACAAAGTCTGGATAGTTTTCATCAAACATCAACTGCAACTACTACCATTATGATCTAATAGCAATACGTAAACCATAATATCAGTATCAAATTGTAGATCCTTTAATCCTTTTCTTAACAAATGTCTTTCAAATAGGGAAGCAAAAGGTTTACATTCAAAATGTGTTTCTATTTATTTACTCTAAAGGAGATATACACTCTATGAAAATCTAAAAAACAATTAATTGAATGCTTTATCAAATTCAGTAAAGACAAACCTATATCTAACATCACCCTTATGACATCTATCCAAGGCCCTAGAACAATTTTCTTCACCAATTGGAACTTCTTCAATCCATGGTTTAATATCATGAGCAGCGGCTAATTCTAACATATGAACAACTTCAGATTTTGAACCTAATAATGAAGATCCAAAGGCAACCCCATTCTTCAAGAATGTGAATGGAGAAACTCCAAATTGTTCCTTAGCTGGTGGTAAACCCACAGAGACGAATTTAGATTCGACTTTCAAAACACTTAAATAATCAGATAAATTAAGACCATCAACACCAGAAGCACAATTTAAGATAAAATCAAAAGCATCATCGTATCTTGTAGTCCATTCAGAATCTTCTGCAGTGGCGACGAATTCATGGGCACCTAATTTATGTGCTTGTTCTTTCTTAGTTGAAGTACGTGAGAAAGCAACAACCTTGGCACCTAATGCATTAGCGAATTGAACAGCTAAATGACCAAGACCACCAATACCAATAATACCAACAGTCTTACCTCTAGCATTTTTGGATAAATTACGGATCAAGGGTGAAAAGACAGTTATACCAGCACACATCAAAGGAGCAGCATGGGCAGAAGAAAGAGCTTCTGGGATTGGGAATACGAATTGTTCATCAGCAATGGAATGAGAAGAGTATCCACCTTGAGTAACATAATCTTCAGATCTTGGATCTGGACTATTATAGGTCCCACATAATTTCTTACAATATTGTTCATTGTCATGAGTACATCTATTACAATCACGACAGGCGGAATTACCAGCACCAATACCTACTCGTTGACCGATTTTGAATTCAGTGACTTTTTCACCAATGGCAATAACAGTACCGACGATTTCATGTCCTACGACTAAATCGTTTCTTCTGTATGGACCCCAGTTGGATTGTAAAGTATGGATATCAGAATAACAAAGACCACAGGCTTCGTTTTTGAGAACAACGTCATGGGGGTTGATTTGCTTATGGGTATAAGTGACTAATTTTGGTTTATTCCAGTTTTCCTTTTTGTCGACACCAAAACCTTGGAATGTAGATGGAACAGAATCGATTGTCATGATGATATTTGTGAATGATAAATAAAGATGGATAAGAAAAAAGCAAAAACAGGTAAAACGAAGAAATGTAAAAAGATTGGAGAAATTGATCGCTTTAAATAAAGAAATGAAAATTTTATAACTCGAGAATTATTTTTTATCTCATCGGAATTATTATCCTTTGTTCTCTTAATGACGTTATCTTTCGAAAAAATTCCAAATTCTTCTGCACACCACTTGATAATATTTTTATGTCTGTTTTGTGATTGAAGGCATGTATTGTCTACATGTTCCTATTCGAATAGACCAATTAGACAGGGGGGATTTCTAATGTTGAAAGCTAAGAACCTTTAAACTATTTCCAAAGCCACACTCATTATTTTCAAAATGCCGTCGATAAAACCGGTGAAAGAATTTAATAAATGATTTTCTTTTTTTTCTAACGGATAAATCAGGAAACGTGTCCTATTTGGGAATTCGTCCCGGATAACGGATAACGGAACTTCGAACAACGTCTTACAACTGACCAACCAGTATTACCTATTTTTGTTACTAGAAGTGAACAATATTAAAACAATTGACAAAGAAAAGGGCCAAGCTGTACTTAGAAATGCCATCGAAAAAGAAGAAAATTAAGTAAATTAAATTTAAAGCTTTACTATGTCCTTATACAGTCTATCATCTGTCTGCTTGACGTTTCTTTCTTAAACGAAACATTCTAAGGGTCACCGTTGTCGTATAGTTCCCTCATTTGCCTCAAGTGTAAACGGCATTGTTTCTACAATCTTCTTCTTGGGGGGTTTAGCCCTAATCGAGAACTAGCACATCACTTAATAGAAATATGACTTATCGGACTTAAAGGTCTCAACTTAGTAAATGTCTTCACTTAGTACTATTGATGGATTCAACTCTATATCTTTAATGAAACTCAAAGTATTCTCAAATTATCATTCATTTTATTTCTCTAAAATTTCCATACTCTCCATACTAAATAAAAACTACAAAATTTATATAAAATTGGGGCAAACTTGCTAATTTATATTAACACCAAATTAACCTGTTTCGAGAGAAGTTCTTCGGCGACTTATCCCCGAAATTGAATCCGTTAATTTTTCCCATCGTGGATCTCATCAAGTGATTTCTTGTCCATTTGTGTGTTTTCGACCGTATCAAGATTGATCTTGTTTCGCAGTTGTTCCAGCAATTACTAAGAAAATTTGCAGCATAAATTTTAGACGACAGATTGCGAAAAAAAAAAAAAAATTGGAAACCATTTTTCTTCTTTACTTTACCACAAACAGAAAACCCATCAACTTAATAATGTACACAGATCATCCAAATTCATCAATCTCATCAATATGATCAATCCAACAAAGTCTTTAAAGGCGGTTAACCGTCACAGAAACAAAAAGTGAAACTTTCTTCCAACAAACTGATCAACATTTCAATATGACAACTCCTTTATCAAAACTTCAAGGTACGCGTATCCCATTGAAGTTAACTCACAACCATCAGTATTATATCAGAACCAAAACAAAAAAACTGTAATAAAAATGAAATTGATGAAGAATTAGTTGGTGGTCCTCCTACCTTGACAATTTTGGAGAAAGTCATTAACCGGATCCTCAAGGGGAAAGGATATGGAATCCTTTCATGCCGAATCAGCCACTTGCCCAATGGTCGGTTCATGTGTGATGGATTTTTAATCTGATTTCAACGGAATAAGGTTTTGACTTGATCTAATTTGGACATCTGAGAGCTTACACATTCATTCTAAATCAATCATGGAAATCAACAGTTGGTGATCATACAATTTGGAGAGAGTTTACACTGGATTTTCATGGGATTTCGGAACCCTTTTATACTAAATTAGCCACTTGACCCATGATTAGTTTATGTGTGATGGATTTTTAATCTGATTTCAAGGGAAGAAGGTTTGACTTAATCCAGATTGGAATGAGAAATGAAGAACAGGATCAGGTCAGACATTAGAATTTCAATTTTGGCAAAATGGATAATTTCAAAAGGTGGTGGTGCGAATCTCCGATGGACACTCCAATTGAAGTGAAGGAAGAATCTCGATGATGGACTTTGGAATTTTGATGAGAGTGGTGGATGTTGGATTTTGATACAAACGGACAATGTTTGATCTTTATTTTATAAATTATATAAATTAAATAGTAGTTCCATATTGGTCGATATTGGGGGAAAAGGGTTGGTCTCTAAGTAAATTGATCCAGATTAGATTTTATGGTGGCGGTGGCGGTGGTGGAGGTAAAGGGAGGTGGTGGTGGATGGAGGGGAGGATGAGGAGGAGGAGATGGAGGAAGTTGAATGGATAAGGTGGATGTGGCCATAGGTGGTGGAAGTTGAATGGAGGCGGTGGATGTGGCCATGGCGGTGGAAGTTGAATGGAGGTGGTGGAAGTTGGATGCTGGTGGTGGCGGTTGAGGGGCATACTGCCGTCATGACACAATTCTTGCGTATATAGCTCAAAGATATGAACCTTTTACTATTCAGTTCAGGAGAACAATCGAAAACAAGAGAATTGCTGTTTAGACAAATAGTTAACATTCGTACTTCCGGCTCTACAATTAATCCTTGAGTGAAAATGGAAGTCTTTAAATACTTACCTGTTTATATTTTTCCCTCAATGAAAAAATATGAAACTACATCGCTGTAATAATGAACAAATTTAAGTTCGTAATGTAATTGACTCGTCAATTAAAGGTTGCTGCCATTATATGACAATAGTTTACTTAAAAAATAATTGCTTATTAACATCTAATATACATGCCTGGAAAGCCAATCCATACACCTACTTCTTTCCCTTCTTTTTCTTCTTCTTACCACCACTTCCACTACTAGTAGGTGTCGCATGTGAAAGCACAGGAGTTGCACTATGTTCAACAATTCCTTGTTGCCCCCCAGTTTTCTTCTTATCCTTTTTGGTTGGTTTATAATAAGATCTCAATTTCATTGGTAACCATCTTTCATCATCCAATGACAATTCTTCTTGAGGTTTAATGATTTTATTTGGACCAAATTTAGGTTTTTGTTTCTTTTTGGTTATTTTAGAAACTTTTTTAATGATTGGTTTGGTTGATTTAGCAGCTGATGGGATTAATGTATCTAAATCAACCGATAAGATTTCTGAAATTGGCATGGGGGAAACTAATTCATTAATTGGATATAAATCGATATTTGAATTAGATAAGATTGAAGAAATTAAATGATCTTCTTGATTGATGGAATTTAAATATTGGAAAAGTTTTGATGAAATTTCTTTATGACCTTGATTTAATGCTTTAAATGCAATTATTTTGGCGGTATTATAATAATCTCCATCATTGGAAAAGACTTCCACCGGGGTTTCCAAAAATTTATTGGCTAATTTTATTAATAATTCAGTTAATTTTTTGGTAGAATGAGTCTTTTCATAAACATTAATTAATGTACCTACAATACCTGGAATCAATTTATCTTGAGAAATACTATTTGTGGTAAATTCTTCCAAAATACACAAAGATTGATCAAAGGATCCAATTTGGAAATTGAGGTATACCAATAATAATACTGCCACATACTGTTGTTGTTGGTCATTTTGTTTTTGATTATTGATAAATTTAATTAATTTTCTTCCAATTGATTTCAATTTTGTAGAATCATGTAAATCATTAAAACTAATATCTAAATTTATGAAAATTTTATAAGCCAATGGGAATAAATCACCTGGGAAATCATTTAAGAATTTTTGAATAAATTTATTATTTAATTGAGATTTTCCTAATGTTCCAGTTGCAAATTTTAACATTATATTATTTTTCAAAATGACTTGATATTGCCATTTAGTTAATTTTTGATTTAATTTATGTAAATTTTCTTGAAAACTCAAATCACGTTCAATTAATCCAATCGATTTTTTATTATCTGATTTAGAATAAATATTATTCTTAATAATTAATTTAAGCATAGAATCATTAATCGAATCAATATCATTCTCTTGTAAAATTTCCAAACTTTTAGATGAATCACCTAATAAATCATATACATAAGCAATAGTAATATTAATTGGTAATAATTCTGATAATAAATCTTCTGGAGACCAATCAGTATTTAATTTACATAATTTTTGTGCCAGTTCCAAAAGATGTAAACAATTAGGAATATTGTTATTGGATAATTCAATCAATGCTTCATTGAATAATAAATCATAATTATCCAAATTTTGATCAATTGAATGAGTAGATTTATTTTGACCATGAGAATTGAAATTTAATTGAGATATAATTGCTCGTTCATTTATAATTAAATCCAATTGATTATCATATTTATTATTCTCAATTAAATCATGATATAATGCCAATGCCTTTTCATGAGATCCAATCTTATAATATGTTTGAGCAAGGATATGATTCAATCCAATTTCTAGACCTTCAGAATTGACATTTCTTGATTCATATAATTTGATCAATTCTTCCGATTTACCAAGTTTATAATAAACATAACAAACTTCTAAAATTGAAGATTCTATCAAATTAGCTGGAACTTTTCTGATTACATCATATGCTCTTTGATATTTATCTATATTGATTAGGGCAACTAAACAATTATTGAATGCTTTTAAATCATTAAAATGTTTAACTTTACTTAAATATTCATAAGATACTCGGAATATCTTTTGATGTTCTGAAGGAGTACTATCCGGAGATACATTTAATTTCTTGAAAGCGTCAGCAATTGAGTTACTCATCCTTTCTCTTTCTGTCTATTAATACTTTCTATCACTTAGCTTCTAAAGTATAAATTGTTTTTGCCAATATTTGACAACCACCAAATTTTGAAAATGAAAAATTCTTTTTTTTTCGTCCAACTACAAATTAGTCGTGTATAAGTGATCAAATTGTATTTGGACATAGACTTTACTATACACTCTACTAAAATAATAGCCTTTTGGTGTAAGCAATCGACTAACTGGAAACATGTTACATGAAAGATGGATCGTAGTGTTTGATAATATAAACATTTGCAAGAATCCTATATAAAGTATTGGTTTTCATCTTTTAATTGCAGTCAAATATTGTAAATCTCTGATATAGACTCTCATATAAGTCACGTGATTTAAAATTGGTAGCACCCTTCTTACTTAATTAAAACATTTTAATAAAAATTGTATTGGAAGAAGAAGAATGATGAAAAAAAAAAAATTAAATAAATCCATCTTTCAATCATTGATTGACTCTCAATATCTTCAATAACCAGTATATACCAAACCCCACTTAAAGATGTTGAGAATAGGGACTAGAACTAGAGCTATAAAGTCCACTGCTCTCAATTTAAGGAGTTTCACTACCTCTACTATACTTGCTAAGAATTCTACAACTACTACCACCCCTGACTCATCTTCACAAGATCCATTGGATGCTCCTATGAGAATAGCAGAAGAATCAACATTACCTTTTGTAGAACATGATTTAAAGATTAAACCACGTCAACCCAAGAAGAAACTTCCATTATTATCCGAACATAAAGAAGAAAACCCCGATTATAAAATGTCTGATTTCAAACAACGTATAGGTCAATTTGTTATTGATACTTTAAAACTTGATATGGATAAATCAAGAGCTGGTACCGTTGCTGGTTCAGTTTATTTTGCCGATTGTAAAGTTCAAGGGTTAATTTATCCTGATGAACCGTTATCTGATACTGCAAAATTTTATTATAAAACTTTAAGATTACCTACATCTTTTGCTCAACAAACTCAAATCACTTTCTTACATTATTGGATGTTATCAGTTAGAATGAGAGCTATGCCTTTTAAATATGGTAAGTTATATCAACAACGTTTGGTCGATCGTATATTTAAAGATATGGAATTAAGAATGTCTAGTGAACTTGGTATTAGTTCAAATAGAGTTATTGAAGGGAATTTAAAGGATTTTCATGCTCAATTAATAGGTTCAGTACTTGGATATGATGAAGGGTTAGTTACTGATGATGCTACTTTAGCAGCTGCATTATGGAGAAATGTATTTAATGGTAATCCAAATGTTGATATGAGACATGTTGAAGCATTATTAGCTTATGTTAGATCTCAATTATATGTTTTAGATAAGATGTCTGATCGAGAATTTGGATTTGGGAAATTTAGATTTGTTCCACCAAATCAAGTGGTTAAACCAATTACAAGTCATCAATTAGAAATAATGAGACAAAAGGCAAAGGAAGAATTTGCTAAATTGAATTCTCCATCTCATAAGACTGTATTATCATTGGATGAATAAGGGATTTTCTTTTGTACATATACGTGTATATATATTTAAGCTAATAGTACTAAATTAAATAAATAAAAAATGCTAAGTTTACAATTTACCACGGCTTGAATAGGTGTTTTCATCTTTAGTCCAATCATTACCTCTAACCCCTCTAATCATGACATTCATAATAGCATAATCTCTTCCTTCAACGGCATTATCAATTGAATTATCTCCCAACATGATATTTTCAACCACTCTGAAACCAAATCTTTCATAGATAGGTATATTAGTAGGTGATGAACTTTCTAAATATGCAATACTATTATCATCTTGATCAATATAATTATTAAACATATATTCAAATAATTTTCTAAGATTACCTTTCCCTCTTGCAGATTGTCTAGATCCAACATAAACCAAAGTATATATTTCTTTATTCTTAAATCTAGAATCAGTATTTATAATTCTTTCACAAGAATCATGCAATAATGGTAACATTCCATGAAAAACCTTCTCTCTACCATCTTCGCCAATAGCATTCCAAAGCTTCCCATAACCAGCTTCCATCAAAGTTGGAAAAGAATTCAATCCTCTTTCTTCGGAATCAGGAACAGACCAGATCGAAACCGTCTCAAATCCATCAGAACTTTCACCTTGTCCAAGTACTAATCCTTTGGCTATATGTTGACGAAGATATGCTTCATATAACAAAATTTCACATCTACGACGTTGTTGTTCGGTAGGTAAATGACATACTAACATTCGTGCCAATGCATCATCTTGAAATGATTCCAAAAGACATTCTGCTGCTTTTCTAACATCAGAATATCCTAAAACCTTTATTCCATTATCAATAGTGGTTGTTTTCTTATGTGATTTTGTAATTGTTGTTTGTGATGAGATCATATTTATTTATAGATATCTTTACTTTTATACTAAATATAACTTCATTCATATTTTTAACAGGTGGATCTACTTATATATAAGTAGTTCTAGAGATTTATCAATTACATCATCAATTTTAAGGTTAAATAAATTTTTCTTATACGAGAGCGCATCGGTATATTCCCAATTAGGAAACCATCATTCCTACGAACTAAGAATATTAAATTGCGCTTTTTATTTTAAACCCAACAACCCCCCGCCAAACAATAAAGTTCTTTACACAATAAAAACGCATTTCTCATAAAGTTATAGAAATAGAAATAGAAATAGAAAAGCGTGTCTTGGATCCATTTTGGGAAAGACCTGGGCGCAAGTCAACCATGTCATCCAATAAATAAATATCCACACAACATAAAATGAAATGAAAATCACTCCCATATGTCACAATAATTCGATTATCCGTGGCTTGTGGAGACTTTGTTTCACCTTTTCATTTCATTAGGGGTTTTAAAGTTTCGTTTTGGTGAATGGGATTTTTGTTTTGAGATAAACGCATTATTTACAGTCAATTTTGAAATCGGATATGCGCAAGACCACAAAATTGGTTATTATCCCAGTCCTTCGTCTCATATTCTAAAGGATATTGCGGGTGAGCTAGCGTAATATCTACAGACCCGCTTTCGAGTCTTGAAAGGGTTAGTTATCCAGTTTACTTATACTTGATAAATACATTCCTATGATTGAAGTTGTGGGGTTATTCCACTGAACGATCATCTAACAGTCTCGATTCAAGAACCAATTTGCCAATAGTCTTTTCTCTGGATTTACCTGGCAGGCTCTCGAAGAGATTCTCGCAGTCTTGTCACATTTGTGGTATTTGGCAGATTCATACGGAAATGTGGGGTTGATGCCGATATTAGGGGCCATCATCTTAGAACAAAATTCTGGTTTCTGATACTCTTGTGACTTGTTTACGAATTATATCTATCAATAAGAGAAAGGCTCGGCTATCGTGAATGGGATTACTATCTTTGTCGTTGTTCATTTCTTGTAAAAAAACACCGTCCTTCCTGCAAATCTATAGATAAGTTCAAAATCTCGAAATTAAATTTTTTATTCTATGTTCCAGAAGATGGTCCTTCTAGTGTATGAACTGAATTAGTAAACAAATAGCATTGAAATGAAAATGAGGAGAAGACAGAACCAAACCAAGATAAGATATGAAATGCATTGTTGCAAATGTTTATTTTTTTTGGACCTTTGTTTTCTTTGATAAGCTCTTCACTTTTCTTCATGTTCAGTTGTAATAAGTTTAAAGACATAAACAAACATTTCAAAAAGACATCTCGGCGTTAAGATTCCAAAGCCTTTTTGAATAATAATATCAATTGTGGCAAATTATGCATGAATTCTGCAAGTAAAATTCTTTTTGCAACCATTTCTTGTTGTTTTGTACTCCTATCATTAGCCGCATCAATATACAACGTGAGAAAGCGGATTTATGCCTGAGTTGCATGCACATACATGCTAATAACAATCCTGTTAAGAGAGGTGTCCAAAGGACTTGATCAGAAAGATAAAGAATAGAGGAAGTTAATCCAAGAAATATTGAAATTCCAATAATTAATGAGTGTTCTATTCAATTTCCACCATGATTGAATCCTAAGAGATTCACTATGCTTAGTCAAATAAAGTAGCAGGTGCGATATTTCAAAAGTAACCATCCCGATGTTCAAAATGTCATATTTTGTCAAAATGGCCAAATATGTTATGTTGTATATCTTGGGATGTACTTTCAGAGCCATGGATCAACTTGCTAGGTTGACTTTGATTAATGCAACTCATATTTTCTTGTGTGAACCGTTGGTGAATACTAGTTTGGAATTACAGGCGATATCAGGATTTCATCGGATTGGACAAACGAATGCTTACAACCTTGTGGATATTTACTATTGAGAGTACCGTATAAAATGTCTCCGTTTCAATAAATAAATAAAAATAACTAAATGTTAAGAACAGATTAAGATAGAAATTCATTTCTTTAATTCTAGGAATCTTGAATTGGTCCTAAGTATACCTGGAATAATTAGAATAGTGATATCTGGTTGATATGTATTATAATTGTACCTGAGATACTTTTTGAGATTTTTTGGAAATCATTAGGGCCAATGTATGGAATTTAATGCAAAAAGACGAAAGGACCTATGGAATAAGACCGTAATGCCATGCCGGAACAAACAAGGAAACTTCTGTATTACGGTTTTAAATATATAAAACTACAATCTGTAAAAGGCCAGGCGATAATTGATATCAGATTAGTCAATAAACTTATTAAGTTAATTTAGTAAATATATCGTTCTATGTTCGGCGTAGAATTGAGACCCCCCTTTATTCCAAACAGAGTACGTATAACAGTCTTTGTAATATCAGTGTAAATCTTCTCATCGTCAGCTAAACCTTGACAATGATCTATTGCCACTTCGTAAGCAATATCTAACTTCTGAGCAACATACGAAACTGGAACTCCCTCAGCCATAGTCTGAATTTGAGATCTTAATCCTAAAAATATTTGAAAGACGCGCTTCTATATAATGAATCGTTCGTTTATTACATTTCTAATAATTACATAATAATACACTATCTTTTGATTAAAATAAAGATGTTTACTTTTTACGTTTTCCCGATGTTTTCAACCTTTCACCACCATCATAAAGTGATTTCCCAAATCGATCTTCGGCTTTTGAATTCATCCATTGAACAACCCGAGTCAATTCTCGTTCTTCTCTCTTTTCCTCAAATTCTTCTTTTAATTTCTCAATCATGGTAACCAAATCATCTTCTTCCCCGAATTCAAGTGCGTCTTCTACAGTTTGGACAACCTTACGACGTTGTTTCTTGGCTGGTGGTGGGGGTGGTTGGGATGTGTTTCTGCTTCTCATTCTTCTCTTTGACCCAATTTCAACCACCTCATCATCATCGCCATCACCATCATCGTCATCACTTCTCTCCTGTTCTCGTTGTTGTACATCTTCCAGCTCATCCCCCTCATCATCATCAATCTCAATCACACCATCATTCTCAGCACGAAGTTTTTCCAACCTCTCAGTCAATTTCCGAATATTTGTTTCTAATTCAATTTCCTCCGGTTGTAATTTCAGTTCATCATCCATCCAGAGGGCCTTTCTCCTGGCTTCAATATTGGCAATAATCGAATCCTTAACCACTCCCAATTCTTTCCGGAGATTGGATTCTCGCTTGCCCCAAGGGTTAAGCCAAGTTATGAGTTTGGTTATATCTTCAGGATGATCATAATATCTCCAATCGGACCCATTCATTAATGGATCTGGAGATTCTTCGATAATTTTCCTTTGTAAAGGGGTGAGGGATTGTGGTGGTACTAGGAGAGAGCCTTCGTTGTCGATTATGAGTTCTTTTTGGTGGTTGAAGATTTCGGAATCACGGAAATCGAGATTATGAAGGGTATGAACGGTGGTTTTGAAACTGTTGGGGAATTTAATGAAATTCATTTCCCGGATTTGGTTCTTTTTAGGACTTGGTTCTTCTTGTTTTGGTTCCAGTGGAGTTGTGGCTGATTCTGGTGGTGGTGGCTGTTGTTGCGTTTTCTGTTTCAGATTGTCTTCATCGAGATCTATGACTTCGATATGATTAATCCGGTCATGATATTCACGTTCACGTAATTCATCCTTGAATTTCTGAGCGGCATTAAAATCACAATTGAAATTTATCAATAAATCATCATTAGAAGGTCCTTGTACCCATAACCTACCCATTAAATAAGTTTCATCCAGTACTTCTTCTTTATCCTCATCAATCTCATCATCATTGGCATTTTCCTTGGCGTTAGGTGCATCATCGCCATCTTCATTTTCATCATCATCATTGGCACCAGCATGAAGATTTGGTAATCCATTATTTTCAAACCACCAATATCGATTAAATAAACGATCCTTACCTAATAATTTAACTCGTTGACAATCTAATTCGGTCAATTTCTGTTCGATGGCTTTCTTGTCCTTTTTGATGGAGTTTAATTTTATTAATGCTTCTTTTCTAATTTCACATTGTTGTTTGAATTCAAGGTCAGTTTCGGCAAGTTTTGATTCTGGTTCTGTCATTTCTATAGATGAATAATTTAATCTTGGTCGCTTGTCTTCTTCTCCCTTTTGTTTTAATTTTTCAAAAATGAATTGATTTGCTTTTTGGGCGATTTCGAGATTTTGTTTATAATCTTTAATATTATCCAATCTTGTTCTTCTTAATGATGTAGAAGCTTCTAAACATTCATCAATATATGTTCTAACCAATGGGGAACTAATGATTAAATCAATCAAGATATTCAATGTTTGGAATTTTAAATCAATATCCAATTCTTCATAAAATTGATTCAATACCGTTGCAGGAGTAGCTGGCATGGTTTTGGGTGCGAGTTTATTATAAACTTGTTCAATTATTGGTTTGTATTGTGGTACAAACTCAACTAAGGATAATACACCTAATAAAATACATTGCCAATTCCCATCTTTGAAATTACGTTTCCGTAACCGATCATGCCAAGGGGTATTTCTATAATTCATACAAATATATGCGTTATGTGATGAATATTCTGTATCAGAAGAATCATCTTCCTCATCTTCCTTTTGGTCATCTTCATCTTCAATTTCAACCATTGATAATTCAGAATCACTATCTTCTTGTTTTTCATCATCGGCATCGCCATCCTTATCATCAGTCTGACTTGAGATTTCAATGACTTCTTGCTTTTTATCCTTTTTGGAATTATTCTTCGTTCCATTGTTTTTGAGATCTTCCGAAGAGTCTTCATTGGTTGAATCTTCATCCTCAATCTTTAACACTTTTCCTTCATCTTCACTCTCAGATCCACGAACATCTTCATCATCTTCCTTTTCATCCTCATCCTCTTCGTCGTCTTCCTTTTCAAATCTTGATCTTTCCGGTAATGTTATATTCAATCCAAATATCTCTTCATTTTCTTTAGCTTCTTTTGCCTCTTTATTAGTCGGTATTTGATTAGATACAATCGCACTCAAGACAGCACACCAAATCTCATCCAATAATTCACATCTTCCCATCTCATTATATTGATCTAAATTCCATCCCATACAATATACAAAATCATCAAATGTGAATGTATCGATATTCAATACGGTATGATAGATATTAATGAATGTCCAGGCTTGTAATGCATCTTGAATAGAATTGAGATGGGGTGAAGATAATCTTCTAATTTCGGATTCCTTATTGGGTATTTCATTACTGTCATCTTCTTGATCTTCGTCTTCTTTTTGACTATCGGTATCATTGAATTCAGCGACGAGATGAGCATTCCAGGTTTTTGCATTTTCAGGAAGGGTTAATGCTTGTAATCTAGGTCGAGGATTCTGAAGATCGAATTTCAATTCTAAATCATCAACGATATTTTTCTTGGTTGGTTGAAGTTGAGACAATCCTAAAGATGGTGTGGCTACTCTTTGAGGCGGTTGGGATTGTTGTTGTTGTTGTTGTTGTAATTGTTCTTCTTCTTCTAACTCTCGTTGTAACTTTTCCGGCAAATAATGCAATGGGAATTTCTTCCTATATGGTACTACGGGGGTTATTGGTTGATCTTCTAATCCTGGGGTAGGTTGTTTAGTTTTCTTTTTCGATTCTTCTTTTATTTTCTTCTTTCGTTCAGTTGGGTTTGGCGTTGGTGTTGATGAAGGAGTATTTGATTTATTAATATTGGCTATTCTTGATTTCTTGGGTAATTGATACAAGATTTCTCCTGTAGGTGTAGAATCAGCAAAATGTTTTAAATCTTCCGGATATGTTTGTGGAATACGATATTTTTCAGCATATTTTGTTTTAACAACCCATGGAGCTCCAACTTTATGAGATCTTGACATGGTTAATTTAATAAATGTTTTAATTAACCATTTTGTGAAATGATTCCTGTCTCTTGATATATTTTCATTAGTTACTATTGCTTGTTGATTATCATTTAATCTAACTACTAAATATTTAGTTTGTGCAGTTTGACCATATTGGACTTTTTCACGGATAATCCCTCTTTGTTTTGAAGATCCCGATCCCGATCCAGAAGAAGACGAGGATGAGCCTGAACTATTATGTTCGATATCACGATGTAAAGGGTCTGATTTTTCTAAACCTTTAATATAAATAGTTTCACCGGGGAAATAATCATTTTTAAATACCAGATAAACTTTATCAACTAATTGATCTAATCTTGTTATTCTATTAAATTGTAAAAATCTTAAAATATGTTCCCGTAAAGATTCCGGAAAATTCTTTTCAACTCCTTCAATTTCTTTTAATTCACTTTCATAAGCTTCAAAAAATGTTAAACATGAATTACCAGTTATTTCACATACAAATTTTCTTTTTTTATAATAATCTAATCGAGATAAATATTCATCATAAGTAAGAAACCATTCTTTAGTTTGAGGAATATACCAAACTTCAGTAGATAAATCTTCTGGAATAGATGGTGGAGGTATAAATTTGACTTGTTTTCTCTTGTATAATACCATGATGTGGGTGGCAGCAAATCAATCAACTATTTGTTGTTGTTGTTTTTGGTTGTTGGTTGTAGTGGGTTGGATACGTGTCGCTGTCTATTGCAACTTTAACTGATTGATTGATTGTTGAATGATTCTATTTGGTTGTAAAGATTAAGTTGAAAAAGAAGCAAAAAAGCAGCAAACAGAAAAATTGGGAATAAAATGAATTGAAAAAGAATTGGGAAAATTTTTTCGTATTTTTTTTTGTTCTCTAAATTTCTGTCTGTCTGTCTGTTTATAATATTTTATATTTTTTTTTTCAGTTGCAATAATAAATTGTAAACAAAAAAAAAACTATTATAAAGAGACAGAGACAGACAGAGATCTTTCTTCCAATTTTGCAATTTTACTTCACTTTTTTCTATAAGTAATAGAAGTAATATAAGTTCCTATCTATTGAATATAAATTCAAATATATCAAAATAAAATTTTAAATTAAAAAATTAAAAATCTAAAATAGTATAAATTAGTTGTTGTATTGTGTGGAATAAAATAAAAAAAGTCATCAATGATGAATTTATTGTATGATGGATAATTAATTAATTATGTTAAGTTTATTATCTTACATTATATGCAGTACACTTCATACAAGTAAATTATTTTTTAATTCGGCTTTTATTTAAATCTTTTTTTTATTTTTTTTTTTTTGCAACAATTTTTTTGATTTTTGCATCGCGTCTTTTCTTTTGACATCATTAGAAAAAAATATTACTATTACATCCAAACTTACATATTAATCTCTACCTCATTAACTACCAACTCAAATCTAGACATATATTTAAAGATGTCAGTTTATATGGTGTATATAAGTAATCGGAGACTACCAATGTGATCTCCTTGTCACAATACTCTCGGTTTCAAACCCAATGAGCTGCATTTATATTGTCATATTAGAGACTTTTTCCCCACATATTCGAATGTATTCATATTAGGAAACATAAGAAAATATTTGTTGCAGAACTTTCAGGTTATAATCCTTTTACGTCCTGATCTACATGGGTGTCATAACCATCCTCTTTGACTTCTAGATTACTCAGTTTTCAGATCAGTTTATGAACGCGTCACTGGCGAACTCCCCTTTTCATCAACTCGCAATGAGAACCAATTATCAAGAGATTACTTACAGTCTACTATCCCTTGCAAAAGAATAGAAATATGCGTTACATTTTATTTATTAAATAGCAAAATGCTCTATAAATTTATATCAATCTCTTTAAAAACTCATAACGAAATATGCAAAAAACGAAAAGACAACACGTAAACAAATTAAACAACCTAAATATAACCCAATCAATGCATTACATATCCAATTTTAAACCCGGGGACTTGACTCTGTTGAGGAATCTCTTTATTAGAAGAAGAAGAACCACTACGGCCACTATTCCGTAAAGCACCATCCTCGTCATTATTATTATTCACCACTCCAAAACTTCTTTGTCTATACCTTTCTTCCTCTGACCCAGCATCACTACTACTACTATCCTCTTGTTCTTGCAGTTCTTCTTCCGATCCAGCATCAGATTCATTTTGATGATTATTTTCACCCGCTGCTTCTTCTATTTCCGCATCTTCAGCAAGAAACGGTTGTTGATCCTGATAATGTTTCTTAATCCTGGGATTCCTTAAATTAGATAAATTCAAATCATGGATCCGAAAAGGACCAGCCCCTGTAGTTTCACTTTCATTCAAATTGGGATGAACATAACTCAAATCATACATTATCAGTCCCAATGATTCTCTCGTATCCTGACTTTCACCAGTTTGGGGTGTCTCTTGATTGGTCAAATCTAATAATGGAACCGTTTGATCGAATGGAAGATCACTATCACCACCAGCAGTACTCGTGCCTAATTGTGCGGAAGATCCAATTGAGGATGTTCTTGATTTGTTTATTGGCATCACGGGTGGGTTGATCGGAGAGCCAGGATAGTCGGTTATATCCCCCTCGCTGTCATGTCTGGACGATGCTGTTGAAGTTGATTGTTCGAGATTTGAACTCGCACAACCTTCACTGTTATTTTGTTGTTGTTGTTGTTGGGATGGGGATACATTCATTAATAATTCCTTGACTGGATTACTAGTACTAACCCTAATCTCGGGCACATTATTCCTATTCACATTATTACTACTACCATCACCAGGAACTCCATTATTATTATTATTACTTCCCAGACTACTATCACCACTAATCCGATCTAAAATACTTGGACTCTCATCAATTCTCAACGGCGACAAACTTATCTCTTCTTCCAAATCATACGCTGGGGGAGGTAAGTCCTCCATTGGAGGTGGTGGAATGTCAGCATCGAATGCTGGGGGGTTTATACTTGGATTTCTCAATAAATGAATCGCTCTTGGTTGTCCTATTGGAGTCATCACCCTGCCGCCTGGAGATGTGAATGTTCCGGGATGGGGTAATGCTTGCGGTGAATTTATGGATTGGATTATATCCGGAGATTTTGGCGCATAGAGATTTGAATCTAGATGCATATCCACATGGGAATCGATTACTCCGTCTAAATCGGTAGTGGTTGATATGTGATGGAATTCAATTGGTGGCGGAGGGTAGTCGTTTACTAATTCATCGAGGTGGTTTGAACTTGGGTTTCGTGAAAGGTTTGATATGACTGATAAAAGACCATTTTGGACTGGTGGTACGGCTGTGTCAATTGGGGTTGTTTGGGTGGTGGTGGCGGTGGTGGCGGTAGCCGCAGCGTTGTAGTTGGGAATGAAGTCATCATATGCTGGTAATAATGTATTTCCATGAGCTGCATGGGGTGATAATACTTTCAATGGGGAATCAATTGAAATTTCATAATGTTTTCTCTTTGCCGGGTTTTCTGGGTCAAGTTTAGAAATTCTTAAACAAATCTTTAACCAATGATGAGCTTGAATATTTTCAAATGAAGTATCGGGATGAATGACACAATGTAATTTATTCTTTGAATCTAATTCACGAGGAACATATAATTGAAATTCTAATTCTTTTGGAAGGATATCATCTTCAAAATTATTTTCATTTTCATCATCTCCATTATGATCATGATGATGTTCCTGGGAAAGTAATGATTTCCCCTTTTGAGCTTTATGTTCTAATAATAAGAATTTTTTAGTTGGTTCCATACGATGAACTTTCTTATTACTACAAAAATATTCCAAGGTTTCAGTTAAATAAACTCGAACTCGATGTAAAGCAACTTTTCCAAATAATGGGATAAATCTAAATGCTAATGGTAAATACAGATCCAATATAATTGCTTTTGATCCAATAACAATATCATATCTTAATTGATCTTCCCAATCTCTAGTAATCACAATTGATTCATTTTCTTCCATATTTGAATCAGAAGGAATTCTAATTATTTCAATTGGTAATTTCCCAAAAAGATTAGTTTTAAAAGTCCCTGGACGAGTAATTGTAACTGATAAATCATATTCAACATTTCCATAAGTTACATTACATGATTCTGGAATTGATGCAGGAATAGGATGTTCAAAATTATATATGTAATCACCAGGAGCAAAATATCCCAGTGATGATGGATCACCAGCGATTGGAGATATGACAGAACTAAGTTCACTATCAAATGCGGAAATTGTAGGTGATCTATTACCACGACGCATAAATGATGGTGATAAATTTCGAGTGAAAAAGTTCCCACCGCTGCTTCTTTCGTTAAGTGATTCAGTTGGGGTTGTTGGGGTAGTTAAACTAGCATCTGATAAATTTATTCTTGATCTAGGTAAATCTTCTAAATTGGGCGCACTTAATGCATGTTTTCGAGTAATACCTGTTGTAGTTGTTGGTTCAACATAAACATCAGCACCATTGTTTGGAGTTGGGGCATTACTTGCTTGATAAAAGGGCCAAGTATGAGATATGATCAGATTAGATTCAAGATATATTTGTTTCTTGGGTGGAATACCTTCTGGCCAATCAGTTTTTTGTATTCCTTTAAAATTTAGTACAATTGATTTTAATTTACATGGTTTTAAAATCCTGATATATAAACAACCTCTTAATAAAGTTGGAGGTCTTGATAAATATTCTTGAGGTTCAAATCCTTGCACAAATAAGTTTGATTCTGTTGGAATTATATAAACTTGTAAAGAACTTGTTGATGCAATTGGTTTTTCTGGTAAATGTGGTAATAAGGGGTTGTTGATAATATTATCATTTGTACCAGCAGCAATGAGATTTGGACTTGTAACACGACTGGTTAACTGTTGTGGGGAGAATAATGGTGAATTCATATTGACATGAAAGTTAACACTGTTTCTTCTATAATGATAATTAAAGGAAAAAGTGATAAATCTGTCTTTTGTATCACAAATTAAATCCTTCTTCCTTCCTTCGTCTTCTTCTGTTAATTTTTCTTTTTCTTCCGACGGATAAATTGGGAATTTGTATTAAATAATAGAATTATGAATTAAAAAATAAATTATGAAATAAAATTATTTACACAAAGTTAAAAAAGGAATTGTATGAAATTTAAATAACAATGATTTCTACCAAAAAACAATGATTCCCTTTAACTAAATAATAAGATGAAAAAGAAACGCATGGAGAATTGAGAAAAGGAGTTAAAAAAATAAACTTTCGATGAGCCTCATACATTCACTCTTTCAGTTACATGCATACTATATAGTAAGTAAGTTCATCTTAAGCGAATCTAAACGTCATTTAAAAAATGAGGTGCAGCTCTAGTATCATTTCATCCCGGGGGGTAAATGGGAATATCGTCTGACATTCTCGAGAAACGGATGATGCGGTATTATACCTCTTTACTGGTTCTAGACTTCGTCTAAAGGCTAAGTCATACTTTAACGGTGTTTTGAATTTCACTTTCAAAATGCCTCGTTATTTAAACTTAGAAATTTTGGTTTGATTTCTTTTTGGTGGGTTTACGGATAAACCCCATAATTACCACATTTTTTTTGTACAGTATGTAAAATTCTCTCGGCATATTTTATTTTTCTTTAAAAAGCAATCCATCCGTACCGTTTTATTCATCTCGTATCGTTCGTTTAGTTGGGGGACGAGCGAGAGTGGAAGCTGGAGTTACGTGGAGTGGGGGATATGATGTAACTCAAAGATTTCATAAATAATATAAATTCATCTAATTACTAACGTATATAGATCTAAACTAAACTCATGGCTTATACAAGTTACTTTGAACAAATGGTAATTTGGCAATAGTAGCGTCTCTTAATTTTCCTCTAATTTCAATCTTAATATTACTTCCAATCTTAAATTTCTTATCAATATAAGCTTGAGCAACATTACCACCCAATGTAGGAGACGGAGATCCAGAAGTAATATACCCAATCTCAGTCTTACCATCTTCACTAAAGATCTTATTGTTATCTCTTGGAGATGGACCCTTGGATAATACACCGATTCTTCTAGTACTAAGTAAAGATTTATCTTTAATTTGTGACAAGATAGTACTAGCACCATTGAAACCTGGATTACCTTCACGACGGGTCTTGGGAATTAACCAAGTTAAAGCAGCTTGAATTGGAGTGATTTCTTCAGTTAATTCATGTCCATAAAGACACATACCTGCTTCTAATCTTAATGAATCTCTTGCAGCTAAACCAATTGGTTTAACAACATCTGGATAAGTGTTGATTAATTCTTGGAAGAAGGTTAAAGATTCCTTTGTTTCAACTTCATTAGATGAAGGAATTGATAATTCAAATCCATCTTCACCAGTATATCCTGATCTAGCTAAATGAACATCACCACCAATTGTTGATAATTTTGCAAATTTACTTTGTCCAAAATAAATCTTGGATAAATCTTCATTAGTAAATTTTTGTAAAATTTCTTGAGATTTTGGACCTTGAATTGCTAATAAAGTACTTTCAAAAGTATCATGTTCAACTGAATTGAATTGTTCAGCTTCTTTTTTAATAAAAGCAATGTCCTTCGCACGACATCCAGCATTAGTAACCATATAATAATCATCTTCACCATGTTTAGTAATGATACAATCATCAATAACACCACCATTCTCATTCAATAATACTGATAAACTAAATTCATTAACTTTTAATAAATTTAAATCAATTGGAGTAATCTTTTGTAATAATGATTTAGCATCTTTACCTTTAATCTTATGTTGTAACATATGACTAACATCAAATAATCCAACTTTTGATCTAACCCAATTATGTGATTCTATATGAGTTTGTCCTTTATATAAAACTGGCATCTCAAATCCCGCATATGGGACCATTTTTCCTTGTAAGGCAATATGGGCTTCATATAATGGGGTTTTTAATAATGGACCAGCTGAAGCTGAGTTGAATCTGACGGAAGTTCTAAGCATTATTGAGTAATTGATTTTGATTTGGAAAAGAAGAAATATATGAAAGATTCAATTCAAGAAATTTTTGAAGTTAAATAGATATGAACTTAATATGTGGAGATATGTGAAAAAAATAATGAGAGTGAAAATTTTTTTGACTCGTGATCAATTTCTTTGTTTATAATTGAAGAAGTCAAACAGAAATTTTATTTTTGACTTCAGTTCAAGAACTCCAAAAAATGCCTTTTAGTTTAATTATCGATAGCATATTTATTTTTTTACTGGTTTCTTATAGAGTTAATATTACATACAATAAAATAGACTCCCTTCTCTCGAAGTAGCATTCTGACCTCTCCCCCCCTCTTTGTAAGCTAATACAATTCCGTCATTTTTGTAACATAAGCAACATCTCTCTAATTATTTTTAATATAATAGCAAGTAACAACAATCATCAAAACAACCACGCTGTAAAGAGCAAATGCTAAAAGACTATGCCCTAACCCATCAAACATCTCTTGTCTCCTCTTTCGATGATAAATCACATGACCGTTCTCATTTCTTTTCAAACCAGCGACATTACTTGGGAGAAATACTTTTTGATTCTGGAAAACGAGGTATTGATCGACAGAAATTGGATCATGTTTCTTATAGAATAACATAAATAAGATTCTGATTGAATTAAAAATCCAAAGTAATGGAATTACTATTCCAAGGAATAACCAAAGTGTTTGTCTTTTGGATTGATGTTTCCATGATTCACAGGAATCACATTTACATTCAAGTAAATTTACATAATCAAATGGATCTTCAACTGAAGAAAGTGATCTTTCTTCTAACTTATATTCGAGCAGTGGCATAATTAGCTGTAATTTTATCGGTAATGAAAAAGAAAAGTTGGCAATTTCACTTCCAAATAAATTGGAATAGAATCACATTGCTTTATATACTTACATATAAATAACCTGACCATTCTATAGATAGCTGCAAAAAAACATGTTTTATAGTCGTTTTCAATTTTTAGTGATTTTATTTTTTTTTGCAGCATAAAAACGCAAAATATTTCCAAATTGGGATCTAACAATAGCAGCACTCCAAAACAAAATTACTGCAATTCATAAACATACTATTAAGTGGGATTATGTAGTATCAAGAAAACTGACAAGGGGCTAACCCAATGGGGTAACACTCAAGGGTTTACAATTTCAAGCCCCTTTTACAATATTGCTTATTTGTTGTATTTATTCTACGTTTTTAACTACCAAATACGCGCTACCAACCTCATGCAAAATTGATGCTGTAAAAAAATCTCGAATCTAGAACAAACGCTACAACACGTCTTAAAGGGGTCCTAGTTTAGAAATCAATTCAATGATATGTCAACAATCGATATTAATAAACTATGTACATCATTACAGTCATCAAAGATCAAAGAAAGAAACGACGCTCTCAATTTATTAGAGATTCTATCGGTATCTAAATTTAAATTATCCCTGAAACAATTCAAAATTTTACAACAAGCAATCATAAAATTGATTGATTATGAATCACAAGTCTATCACAATAATAAATCAAACCCTGTTGAAGTTCGATTAAGTAAAGCATCATATTATTTACGTTCCATAACTGAGAAATCTGCAGAAGATACTAGGATCAATATAAAATATAGGAATTATATTGATTTATGTTTGGAGATCATTTCACGATTTTATGTAAAAGATGAATTATTAGATCCTTGTACAATTGACTTTATGAAAACCATTGCCATAATCGTCAATATACGATATGTGAAAGAGCATTTATATANAAGATGAATTATTAGATCCTTGTACAATTGACTTTATGAAAACCATTGCCATAATTGTCAATATACGATATGTGAAAGAGCATTTATATAAGAAAGATTGGTTGCATATTTATCGATTTTTATTAGATTTGCTTGAGAATATATTGAATGATAGTCAGACCTCCATAACATTGTCCAGCCAGAATGAAAAGTTGTTTATAGATCTGTTTAACACGCTTCAGATCTTATTACAATGTGATAAATCAATATCTATCAATTATTTACAAATGTATGATGATAATGAGAATTATTTAAGACTATTGGCAATTTTTGATAAAACAATCCAAATATTCAAGAAAGAAAGTTTGGTGATTATTATATTATTCAGAATAATTAATAAATTTATTATTACAATGTCAACTATAAATTTCAAATTCATTAATAAATTGATTAAATTTGGTTTACGAGCTATGATATTCTTTTATCAAACTCAATGGGAGAAACTTCAAGAACAATTTCTAATATTTTTGAACCTACCTGCCACCCATAACCTATTGCATTTACACAACTTGCCTAAATTAATAGGAGGAAATAGAGACATTCTTGGAGATTTAATGGATTCTGATGATGACGAGGATACAGTCAAGGACGACAACAACGAGAAGGATGATAATAGAGATGAAGTACTCTTGTACAATGTAAGAGTGTTAATCCAATACTTAATAACAAGATCTTTAAATAACGACTTCGAATTAAGACCAGAACAAATCGGGTTATTGCATAATTGTGATGATGATTCAAATTGGTTTAAATTACGATCGATATATTTGAAATCTCAAGATTATAAACCTTGGCTATTACTTCTAGGGATTGCAAAATTAATGGAATCATATTTTGAATTAAAGGTGATTCTACAACAAACATCAAATGACCCAAATGTAAGTTTTGCATCTTATTCTATTCTTGGACAACATATACCAAATAAAAGACAGAAATTGGGAATAGTTGGCGATTCATTAATACAATCAAATAGTGTCTTGGATTTTTGTAACCGCTTGATCCACTCGAAATCATCATCAGATGAGACACAAGCACTAGGGTTAAAATTGATGATTTTCCATTTTGAAAATAGTAAACTCCAAAGAAATTCAAAATTATCAAAGTATAAATCACAAACATCATTATCATCGGATTCCAAAACTGAAAGTTATGAAAATGGTGAGACAAGTCTATTGGATGCAAACCAAACAACATTTGATTTTATGGTCTCTACAAGAGATGATCCAGCAATTGATCGAAATGTAGTATTCAAGAACATTTTGGGAACATTTGATAATAATAAATTGTCATTTTGGAGTATTTTAACATCCAGATCTATGATTAATGATGAAATTCGGTCTGAACGGACTGAATCCATAAAATCCAGTTATATTGCACCAATTTTAAAGCTTTCATTACTACTCATCAAACAAAAGGATACTTCACCCATTGCATGCAGTTTGATATTTTTAATATTATATCATCGTTCCTTAACTACAAAATTAAATCAATTAGTGGATGACTCGATCTTAACTCAATTAGAAACTTTAATCGATCTACTGGAGATAAATGGACCTTTCAACATCTCTCATGAAAGTTTTCAATTCTGGTATGCGATGAACAAATTGGCAATTGAGGTGAATTTATCCAAGAAGGATTTATTAAGTCAACGTATTCAAGATTGGGTGTTTGCCAAATGGGAGATTAGTTTTCAAAACAATCTGAATCTGATAGATCAGTTATATTATGGGTTTGAGGATTTTATATTTTGGTTATCTGGGAATTCATTTATTTATAATTCAAAAGATGATTGTTTGGGGATTTATGAAGGAGATCTTAATGAAGTCTTGTATTTTACTAAGAATTATCAAGAATTAGAATCGTTTTTGTTTTTACTGAAGATGAGCAACCAGTCGATTCATACACACGAGAATGGGATTAAGATCCAAAGTATTGTAAGAAATAATAGACTTGAAGTGTTATTATCTCGAATAATTGAATCATTTACGGCATATAATAATGAAAATCTGACAAGTAGAAGTAGTCTTCAATGGTTGTTGATGATCCTGAAAATATCGGAGATATTAAGGCCGTTGTCATTGTTTAATGACTCAGTGAAACAAATCGATTATCAATTTTCAATCGGGATGGAATCGTTAAAGCAATTAAGTTTAAGTAACGAAGAAGCTGGACAGTTGGTTGAAGTTTTAAACAAAGAAATCCCAACATTTTTCAAAACTGCTATAGTAACTCGAGATAGTTTTATATCCAATTTTCCTTACGATGAATTATTAGATGTTTTGAAAGCTGAATATAGAAATGTCCCAATTACTCCACATAGGAATAATGCTTTTGACGGTTTGGAGAAAGAATTCGCAGAAGTTAGAGAATCAAGTACACCTCCGTCAAGTGGAACAGGAAACGCTTTAATTACATTATTACAACTGAAATACAAGCCAAGCAGAACATTGGAAGCTCTCAAATTTACATCAACAATAGACAAGATGATGAAAGTAGATAAAGAAAAACAATTTGTTCATATGATCGAATATGCGGAGTCACTAACTACTGAAAATCTCTTGCCTGCTGTTTCATTCATAATAGATAATGTGCTTATTGATGAGGAAATTCATAATGGATATTTGATTAGGTTGATTCGATTAATTGGTGAAAGATTACTCTCTGATCAAGAAGTTGAAAGAAGTGAATTTGTGTTGGTGGTTGTGTCTAGATTATTATCGAAAATAGTTCCAACGCTCAGTAGAAGTTTAGATGCATCATTTTCCAAAGATTGTTATGATATCTGTGGTTGGCTTATTCAATGTGGTACCAAAGATCTTATTTTAACTGAAGCCTCAACCATTGAGTATTGCAAATTTTTATTGGAGTTTTTGATTTGTAATGACGAAAAGGAGTTCTCTAATAATGAAATAAGGTCAAGCTTGTTTGATAAGTTTTCTAAATCAACAAACAATATTAAGTTTCATTTGTGTGATGCATTTATTAAGTTATTACAAGCCTCACCAGCGGCTAAACAAGCAATGGTTTATAATGAACTTTTCCAAAGATTTGCTGATCCACAACAGTCAGTAGAAACTGGTGGAACATATGCTATCTTCTTTACAAAATTATCAGAAGCTTCGTCGCAAATACTATACTCGTCAATATTTAATCTCCTTGAATGTTCCAGATTCCCATTTTTCATTCCATACTTAGAGATGTGCCTTGACGAATTCCGTGATATTATGAAACTAAACAATCCGCATGACTTATTCAAATCAATGAAATTTGAAATTTTGAGATGTTGGTGGCAATACGATGCAATTCATCAGTTTCCATTTGTATTGTTCGGATATACGGATCTACAGTCATTTTACCGTTTTAATTATCGTGAATTGATATCAGTGGCATTGTCAACAAAATTAACAAGAAAGGATGCGAAACCCGGTGCGGAGTTTATTGAACAATTGGCGAATATTAAACATTCTGATTCGAAGGCATTAGTTTGTGAAAGTTTGTCATTGATTGTTCCTCTTGCATATACAAAAGAAGGTATTAGAAATGATATTTTTGAGATTATTTTGAATTATTTAGGAGATTCTATGAAATCTGAATTTACAAAAAAATTGTCCTTGATCACTCTCGAGATCATAAAGTTTTCTGATATGTCACAGGAGAGTCATTTACGGGATTCATTCCCTGGAAGTGATTCAGCTCGATTATTGGTATCAGATGCTGCTACTTCAGTGATTGAAAAACCAGGGGAACTTCTGATATCATTTAATGCAAGTGTGGAGTTATTGAGAAAGCTAGTTTCAAAGTATGGTTCTGCTGAAGATAATTTTTGGAATGTTAAAAGGGTATATTTTTTGATTAGACGAGTATCCATCAAGTTCAAATATACATCCTCGGAAGACCAGATGATATTATTGTTAAGAAAGTTTAAATTCATATTGATTATGGGAGGGTTAGACGTTCTTGATTTGGAAATTAGTAGCTTAGTAGTTGGTATAATTTGTCCACTTTTAAACAGACAACGCCTAGTTTTCGACATTGTATTGATTTTGAGATACTTCAAGGATTTATTCCATCATAAATACGACATGGATAGGTCAATTCCGTTGGTCACTAAGATTATGGAATCATTGTTTGCTGTGGAAAAGCCTGGACAAAACCTTTCTGAGTTGCTTGATTATTTGTGTTATTTTACAACAAACATAGACGGAAACGAATCTCTTCAAAAGATTCTAGAGTGTGCTAATGATATTTTGAGTGGGAAGACGATTTTCATAGACTCGTCAGTAATAGAACAGTGTTTAGAAGAATTAAGTCTGGAATCTTTGGAGGCGAATATAATAATCCGACTAATTTCAAGATTGTTTGACCATGTCGATACATTTCATCACGAAGGTAGCAAAATCAAAGTCGTCGAAGCATTATTGAGAATTGAACGAACAGAATTGGAGAAGTTTTCAAAGAGCTTTAAATTATGGATTTCAGAGTATCTATCAGTATTTTACTTAAGCGGAGGTGCCAGAGAGAAGATATCAGCCTTTGATATGAATGAATATAGCGGCATCCCAGTAGAAGAATTTGATAAAGAGATAACATATTTCAACTATGCTTTCAAGAAACTAGTTGAATATACTTACTCTAGTGATGTCGAAGCTGCCTCGTGTGCGGAGTCAGTCTTAGGTGTATTGGTTGGTAAGTTCAACGTCAATAAAAGGGAAATTTTGAAATATCTTAGTTTTAATCAGTTGTATAATCAGTATGGCAACCATTTATTGGAAATCGATTTTCATACGTGTGTCCTTTTGAATGATAGATTAGACGTGGATTATTTGGGAGACGACTTACGCGATTTAGTCGGGAACTTGGAGAATTTTTTGCAATCTGAAATACATATATGGACAACGAGGCTCTATCTAGCTATACTTCAAGAGTTAGCTCCGTTCTCAAGTATAGCACCTTTGTTGAGTATATTCGTCATTAATGTGCACGTTTTTGCAAAGGATTTATTACCGGAATTAGTTTGTTTTTATTTGGCATTGAAGAAGGAGTCTGCAGAAGCTAACGTTACAGCAATTTTGTCAGAATTTATAAAGTTGAATTCAAGTAATAGGGTCACTAATAGGATATTTCTCCGTATTGTCACATTGATCAGAATTGGAGCCAAGAAGGGATTACAATCGTTTTCTACAGTACTTTCAAATATTAATCTTGTTTCATTTTATAAGCTCGCTGCTGAAAACAAACATTTTAAAACCTCCATGATGTTGTTTGAAGATTCCATTAATTTGGATAATCCGAAGAAAGCACTAATGGATAATTACGAAACATTACAATTTGTATATGAATCAATTGATGACAAAGATTTACTATATGGATTACCAGAGAGAATTGATTTGCAGTATGCGATATCTATGGCATCTAGTCTTGGGAGCAGTGAAGAACAATTGGAGTATAATTGCGGTGCATTTGACACTGACGTAGCTTTAGAAGGCGATAGCAGGAATTCAGAAATTATCAAATCGATGTCCGCTAATGGATTTTTAGGTGTATCTAGGCTACTACAGAAAACTATCAACTTAGGAACCAATAACTCAGAACCATATGAATGGAGTTGGAAACTATCAAAATGGGATCTACCTTCAACGGTTTCTCCACGCAAAGAAAATGAGGTGATATACAATACAATGAAACAAATCCATGATTATCCCTCACGCGCAAAGGAATCTTGTCAAAGCGCTTTATTGAATATACTTGATCAACACGCTGTAGTTTTCAGAGATAATCTAAGCGTGAAGGAATTCAAGTCAAACGGTACAAGCTGGCTAAAGACAATGGCAATAATTTACTCAGTTTCTAATATATTTTCATTTGAAGGGGATGAGGTCAAAGATTTGCTTGTTCCATTTAAAGAATTGACGCGTTGGTTTGAGGGCTCTGAACTAGATTTGACAGAAAACATTCTTTTAGCAAGAAAAGCTGCATTTCAATTGGTAAGTGAACAATCATTGTTTTCAAAACTACTGGCAGAATCACTTTGGATCGGGGCTTTAAATGAATTAGTCAGGTATAATGATATTACAAGAGTATGTAAGCAACAGCAAAAGATGATATCTTCTACGATGTTAATTGATCGTATTTGTTCTACAAAGTTTGTTAACGCTTCAGAGGGTATCAGGCGCGCTGTCAAGGGGTTATCGTCATATCAAACAGCTCAAACTCTTTGGTCTCAAGGTAACACTAGTGTCCCTGTTTTAATTTTGAAAGAGTTATACAATGATGGAGGAATTTCTTTGGATGGCATGAGTGTGAATAAGTGTTTGATGCAAGCTATGATCGTTACGTGGATGTGTGAATCTCGTGAGGAATTGGCTTCGACTATCATGGACAAATATGTTTTACCTACAGCAGATATGACATCCTCGACTGAAGATCTAGAAGAGCAATCGAAAGTTTTTCGGCTTTTAGCGCACTTTTGCGAACTCCAATGCAAATCACGGACATTAGTAGAACAGATAGACAATCTTGAAAAAAGAATCGGGAGCAAGCAAAGGGAATTGGAGGAAATTAAACAGCATTATGGAAAGACCTCTGTATCTGAGGCCGAAAAGAGGTCAACTTCAAAATATTATAAGAGAGTGAAATTGCAGTTACAATTGGAGATCAAGGATTTAAATTTATTGACCGAAAGTCGCCAAATTCTTTCTAACAAAGCGGTGGAATATTATTTAAGAAGTATCTCGGTTAATGACTATATGGAAGAAGATTTAGATAAATTTTTTGCTTTATGGCTCGAGCAATCAAATAATGAGGAATTGAATAGGAGGATCCAGACAGAAGTGTTGTCCCTAGCAACTCACAAGTTCATTAGTTGGGCTGCACAATTAGTATCAAGGTTGACAAGTGACACTAGTGAATTTCAAATAATATTGAAAGAGTTGATTTTCGATATGAGCTTGGAACATCCTCACCATGTATTATACCTACTTATATCGTTAAGAAAACATGGTGCAACTGCTCAGGAAGAATCCAATCCTGTATTGATTTATAAATGTAAAGCGGCCGAATCCATTTGGGATCGTTTGCTTAATAAGAATTCCAGTTTTGTGGAAACTACATTACTACCAATTGAGAGGTTTTGTGATCAGTGTATACAAATAGCCGAATTCAAGATTCCTAGGGCAAAGACGTTAAACATTTCGAAGTTAAACGTTGCAAATTACTGGATGAATGAATTGCCACCAATACCACCACCAACAATAACTTTGAAGGTTGATTACACATTGAAATACGACAAGATGCCCGTACTCTCTAAAATTGATACGAAATTGGCGATAGCTTCTTCTGGGTTAAGTTTACCAAAAATAGCGACGTTCATTCTTTCTGATGGTTCTCAACACAAAATTCTATTAAAGCATGGTACTGATGATTTGAGGCAAGATTCAATTATGGAGCAGGTTTTCAGCAAAGTAAACAATATCTTCTCAAGAGATAAGGAAAGCAACAAACGTAATTTAAGAATAAGAACTTATAACGCAATTCCACTTGGTCCCCGATCTGGTATTATTGAGTTTGTTCCTAATTCTATCGCCTTAATGGATATTCTAAAGCCATACCATGAACCTAGAGATCAGTTAAGCTACGATACGGCAAGACAAATGATGAAAATGTGTCAAACCAGAGACAAAAGCATACGAATCCATGAATATCAGAAAATTTGCTCCAAGGTAAAACCAGTTCTACGTTTGTTTTTTGAAGAAACATTTCTTACTCCCGATAGTTGGTTTGAAAGTAGAATAAGGTATACGCATGGTGTTGGAACTACGTCAATTGTGGGATATATATTGGGCTTGGGAGATAGACATTGCAACAATATATTATTAGATAAGCATTCTGGAGAACCTATCCATATCGATTTAGGGGTTGCATTTGACCAAGGTAAGAATCTTCCTATTCCAGAAACAGTCCCTTTTAGATTATCAAGGGATATTGTAGATGGATTTGGTGTAACTGGAGTGGAAGGAGTATTTAAGAAATCATGCGAACATACTTTTAGAGTTTTGAAAAAGAACAAAGATCATATTATTTCCATTTTAGATGTTTTAAGGTGGGATCCTTTATATTCTTGGTCTTTATCTCCAATCAGAAAGAAACGGTTGCAACAAGAAGAGACTGCCGTAGGAATGCTTCCTGAGGAAGATGGCTCTGAAGCCGGACGAGCAGTACTGACAGTATCGGACAAGTTGAAAGCGGGTGGATTGAGCGTTGAAGCGGCGGTGCGTGAATTGGTACAGGAAGCATCAAGTCCCCATAACCTTGCATTAATATTTTCCGGATGGTCGCCTTTTTACTAGCATGGCTTACATTTATTTTAGCTTAATAGAGTTTGTAGAAGAAATATTAAATGAGTTTTTTTGTAGAAGATTCGTATGACACATGAAGTAGTAGGAGTTTTAACTGTGCGGATGACAATAAAACACTAAATACGACTGTAAAAACTCAAACCAAAGCTACAAGAAGTCTTAAAAAATCGAAAATAAATCCCTATAATATAACGGCCCCGTAATAAATTAAATAAAGAAGATAGTAATGGTTCTATAAAAAAAATAGTTATATTGCTAATAGCAATGGTAGTATGTCAAACAGTTATTTCGAATGGAAAACTGGAAGTGCTAGCGTTGGAGCAATCAAATAAGTGTTGCCTTTGTTGCACATGAAAAAGTACATAATATACCATGCCAAAACTCCGGCAATGGTTACTGTAACACCTCCAGCTATCTGAAGGTTAGTGCTTCCATTTATATTGGCAAAACCGACAAGGAAAAATGTCAAATCCAAGCATACAAACACGGCAAGCAATGGCCAAGTAGCTTTCATTACAACAAATGTTAACATGATAGAAAAAATTCCCCATCCTATCAAATAGAAACCAATTGCATTTCCCAATTGCTCTGGTTCATCTGCATAAGCGTCCAAGATTCCAAAAGATGGTATATAAATTGATGCAAATGAGAGCCAAAACCCCGCAAAACTAGTGAAAACCGTTCCAGTGAATGTGTCTCCATTTACCAATTCCCAAGCACCAGCTAAGAATTCTACTATACCAGCATAACTGAATGCAAGACTTACAATTGCATTTGGAATTTTAATATCCTTTGCTTGAGCAAGGTAAAGACCAAGCACAACAGCACTTAAAGCGAACGATGCTAGACCGACAGCAGCACCGTTTCCGTATTCATACTTAGGATTTGACCATACCAAAACATGACGACGAATCTGCTGTCCATTTATGATTACATATTCATTATTTTCACCAGCGAATCTGATCCGACTGTGAGCTCTTTCCCGGTCAATTAAATCTATGTCGATTTCTTTTTCACCAGTTGGATTTGACCTGTGAGCTTTTTCCCGGTCAATTGAATCTATGTCCATTACTTTCTCACCACTTGAATTTGACTCTATGCTAGCCATTTGGAAAGTAGTCAATCTTGAATACCCGGAGTCTAATTGAAGGATGTCTCACGTTTCATATTGCTGACTTTTCCCTTTTTATAAGGAAATCTTACGAGTTTAGAGTGGGGCGGTTTTAGATTTCCCTTGCGGCTTTATGAACCATGTGCGATATGAGACTCCAAGAAAAATAAGGAAAACAAGAAAATAAAAATAGCTGCAAAAAGTACAGTTAACACAAAACGTGGCAAATTGCCTTACAACCGGACCACACAAGCTTCTGGATACAATAATTATTCTACTGTTGTTCATCTAGACGCCAGTTTCCTCCTGTTTAAAACCACAGTGGGTTGCGTTAGGCAATTAGGAGGAGTTAGATTTGGTCTACCAACCGTGTCCCAAGTCTTAAGTCCGGGGCTAACACCGAGAAAATATTTTCCAATCATACGATAAGAGGAGATGCTGGGGGTTGGCACACCGATATGCAGGTAGCTTGTGTTCTAGTGCACAATTGGGTCGCCACATTGTATTGTTCCGGCTGCGGTCTTTAGATGTAGGATATGTCTGAACCAGAGATATATAAGCTAGCAATATTCCTTGGATTTCGGATGAGTGGAACAAGCAACTAGTTCTATTTACGGAGATATTCTACAACAATCTTGTTTCAGTCCAAATCAACCACACAACCCTCCCATTTTTTTGTATTTTGTCGTATAAATAATTCAATATATTTCCACTCCGCTATATGAGATAGCAAAACTCCGAACCATTATTGTAACTTGCATTTATTATGTTAAGAAAAACAAAAGATCTCTTCCCCACCCTAAATGTTCTATAAACCAATTATCTTGGTCTTCGAAGGTTTCTTCCAAATTGGCATACTCATGGCTTTAAACACAAAATAACTGTTTTCTCTTGTAGATATACCCGAAAAGCAGCTATACCCGCCACAAAGAGCACTAATTGTAAGCAATGCGCCACCCCCTGTAAGACAACGTGAACTACCTGTCATAAATGCAGCAGCTACTAAGAAGAATCCCATATCCAAAGTAATAAACAAAAATACAAATGGCCAAGTAGCCTTAAAAGTGATCGTCATTAACATCGCAGTAAAAATTCCCCACGCAATTAAATAAAGTCCCACCGCGTTACCAAATTGATCCGGTTGACCGTCATAAGCTCTCAAGATTCCAAAGGATTCGATATATATGGCTCCAAAAGAAAGCCAAAATGAGCCATAACTAACAAACGTGGTACCAGCAAAACAGTTTTCACTCACCAATTCCCATATACCCGCAAGAAATTGAACAGCCCCTCCGTAAAACATAGCCAATCCCACAACACCATTAGGAATTGTGATTCCCATAGCGCCAGCTAAATATAACCCAAGTGTGAAAGTTGTAATCGAGAATGCAGCCAATCCTAGAGCGGCAGCATTACCAAAGACATGTTTGGGATAAGGAGTGTATCCCGGGTTTAAGGTACCTTCCATCGGCTCTTTTAATTCACTTTTATGAACTCGCTCCTCCCCAATTGTCACACGACTAGTACATCTTGAAGCAGCTTCGGATGGTCCAGTAGACGGTACTCGTAAAGTGTCCCCATTTGTTTGGGTAAATTGTTCTGGCAGGTCTGTTGACCTTAATGACATTATTTCTTTCGCTTGATTTGATCTAACTATTAAATCATTTCAAAATCTTCTAATTTGATTGTTTTATATATCTTTACGTCTCAGGGTGGATTCCCTTTTATCTTTTCATGCTTGCCCCTTTTTAGGGAAGAACGCGTAGACGAACGATTGCAGTTTCCTTCTTTTGAGATTCGATTGGGTCGAATTTTATGATTGAAAAAAGAAGAATGTTTATTTGGATTTAAGTACAAATGCCCATGTCAACCTGATATTTTAGAGACGCTGGATTGATATTGATGTGATCGTACCGATCAGCTGGATAGATCTGAACAACGCTTTTGCAAGTATCTCAATGTTCACATAACTTATCTTCCCAGTAAGATCGTACGAAGGAGAATTCTTCTCGCCTTTTCGAAGAGATATATTGTTTTGTTGTACCTTCCTATTCTTGATTCCATCCCCCAATTTGATCCTATACTAACGGATTCCATTTGACTGATCTTCTATTTAAAAAAACGTGCAACTTTTTCAATTGATTTGTGGAATTCTAGTTGTGTCTAGACTCACTTCGGTTAATAGGTTTACCGACTTTTTTATAGAACAGACATTACGCGACAAAATTCCATGCGTCACGGAGTCCTTTCGCCTTGAATATATTCCGAGAGTTTACTATTGAGTCACAGCTATCATTTTATGTACATCTAGGTATTGATTGATTGGTTGCGGCCAAAAGCAAAATTTGGGTTTGGGATTTCTCATTTCGGGGGACAGGAAAAAAAACATGATGTCATTCTACGGAGCTATTGCAGAACCAGCCATTATCATAACAATCTTGCTTCACGTGAAAGTAATTCTTTTTCTTTTACAATTGAATCATGTTAAGATGTCAAGTCAGGACAATTCTGAAGAGAGTTCATTATCAGGCACAATCCTTAAAATTCCATTAACTGTAGAAGACAAATCTACTGGAGAAACAATAAAGTGTTGCCAACTATGGCTTCATGTATCAACAGCCGAATTTAAACCTAGTGATGATCCTCAATTTAGTAATATATCACTTACTGGTATTTATCAAGAAGGATACTTTCATAATGTTGTGACAAAGTCTATCTTGTCTAAAACATTTCGAAAAAATGCCAGTATAAATGTTGAACCAGATGATTATTATCGAATATTCCTCAATTTATTCCCCCTTGACTTAGATGGTTTAATTGAGAGTTATGAATCCGATGGTGAACATAAACGATTGAAATTAAGTGCCAAATTATTAGCTAATAAAAGTGACTATGACGAAAATGGCGAGCTTTTAGACCTTGGAGATGATGACCCTAACAAAACACATATTACAATTATGATAAAGACAGATGCCAAATTAGCTATTACTGTGGGATCCATTGATCTTAAAGCTCTTGAATTTGAGAAGCAGGAACAATTACAAGAGGAAAGCGATTTGTTTAATTGGTTGAGTTTGTATAATTCTCAAAACGAAGCATTACTTGAATCACTCCTAGAGAGTAAGAAGAAGATTGAAAAACTTAAAGATGATAATTACTTATTAGAAAATAATTATAATGAGTCCAAACTCGATTTCAATAATATTATTGTGGATATGGAACTGAGGTTTTATCAAGTTTTGGATTCAAAAAAGGATATGATTTGGGAATTAACTAAACATGCCCACCCCAAGGATAGATTAGACCAATTAAATAGGGAATATCTTAACAATGAAGGGAAATTAAATGTGATTAATCGGGAGGAAATACCGAACAAAATCGATCCAAAATATGAAAAGAAAAGGAAAACAAGTATATCGAGTAGAGGGCGAAAGAAACGGAAAACTACGAAGCGGAAGCCTACCAAGTCTAAAAAGGCAGCAAAAGAAGAAGAAGAAGATGGTGATAAATCTCAGGAGCATTCAGATTCTGATGAGGAATTAGAGACTCCACCAGCAAGGAGAACTAGAAGACAATTAGCTAAGGTGAAGTCAGGGGAATCAGAAAATGATGAGGAGATGTCTTCAGAAAGTCATTCCGAGTACGATGATGATGCAAAAATAACTCCTGCATCTTCATCTCAGATAGTAGAGGATGAAGATATGGAACCAATTTCACCAGAGCTTACAAGCGGAGATAAGTCTACCAAAGTCAAAGAAGAATCAGATTCGCATCCTTTGCTAAAACATATGGATGTTCCCAGTGATCAGTTTGACCCTAGACGATCTTTCCGAGAACGTTCAAGATCTCAACCAAAGGTAAAGCTTGAGAAAGATCAGTACTCGATACCACTTAGGAGTGATCGAGAGATCGTGAATGCTGCTCTTGAAAATATAGAGAATGGTAGCAAAGAGAATGAAGACATTGCGAATACACATATAAGTGAAGATAGTTCGAATCAAGATAGCTACAATGAAGATGAAGCTGCCAATACTGATTATGATGACGATGAGGACGACGAAGAAAAAGCGGGAGCCGATGCTAATGATACTCAACAAGACACACAACGTTCAATTGAAACGATAGATTTAGGCAAGCATAACTCAAGTGTCATTGAAGACAGTTTACCGGAAAACAAGGCATCAATTTCTCAAGCCTCGCACTCAACGGGTACACAAAACAATGAGGAAGAAACCGATTATAGTTCATCCGAGGATGAAAAACAAGCAGAAATTAAAACAAACAAGGACGAAGTAAGCTCAAATACTCAAGGTAAGTCTACTAGTCAAACTCCACTTAGTCAACATGATCATGAAACTGATTATAGTTCTGATGATTAAGGTGTTCCATGGAAAGATGGAGTTAAACATCCAAACTTCAATACAAAATATTTCCCATTGTTAAACATTGGAGAAAGAAAAGAGAAAAAAAATTGAAATAAAAAATTTTCGTTTTGAATCGCAAAATTTTTTTCTTTCTTTTTTTTCTTTTTCTCAATTCATTTTGATCCCTCATCATCCATCCATCATCCATCCATCAACTTTTTTATTTTCCATTTTCAAAAAAGTTTACAAACAGGGAAAGAAAAATAACCAAATACTTCTTATTGTCATTTTTTAGTTCAAAAAGCGATTGATATCAAAGTATCCTTAATTCAAGTCAAATATCATTTGGTTGTAACATTTACTACGATATTTATTTTACCATCCACATCCCACAAATCAACGTTTCCTGTGTCATCGCTGTGGATTTTTTTTTGCCAACAATTTTTTTGTGTTCAACCATAAGTCATTAACTTGTCCATTGAAGCTATAGACATATTCATAAACGAAGTATAGTTTGTCTAATTTCAAAGTTCATTTCCCATTTGTTAATTTTTTTTAAATTTGAAAGTTCCAATCCCCGGTTTATTTTAGTTCTGACAAAGCATTAAAAGTATTCATTATTAGGCTTTATTTCAGGGTTCATTTTATTATTATACACTTACTTATAGAGAGATCAACCTATTTATTTCCAGGCTTTCCTCCCCCCCACGCATAGTTTTTATTCATTCATTCAAGTTTTATTGTCATTCTTTAGTATTTTTTTAACAAAGGTTGTTTTATTTCTTTAATTTTGGTGCATTTATTATTCATTTCAAAGGTTTAGATTATTTATTTCCCAATTCCGCATTACGTTTATTATAAAGAAATTATGTCCTACTACGATCCATATCAAGGTATTCCACGTCAATATATGACTCAACCGTACTATCCGCAATATTATCCTCAACAACAAGATGATCAGAATATGACCCAAAATGCCCCAGCTATTGATACCATGCCAGCATCTTTTGAACAATATCCTCAATATCAAACGGATAACCAATTCAACAACTTTGGTGTTGATGTTCAAGGAGGGGTTGTATCCAATTCAAATGTCAGTAATGAATTTTATAATGAAGAAGGTGCATTTGTTTCGGCTAATTCAACTAATGGAAACAACAATTTCCAAGGTGGTTCAAGTTTAATGAATCCTAGTTTATCCCAAGGAGGACAATATAATTCTGGATCAACTAGTCAAAATACTTTAACTAATGGTGGAATTCAACCACAAGCCCCACAATTTCAAAGTGAACCAGTTTTCAATCAACAAGTCGGAGGAGACAATTCATCTCATAATTCAGTTGCTCCATCTAGAACTGTTTATTTAGGTAATATTCCATCTGATATCCAACCTAATGAATTATTAGATTATGTTAGATCGGGTATTCTTGAAAGTGTAAGAATTTTGCCAGGGAAGAATTGTGCATTTATTTCATTTGTTGATCATCAATCAGCCTTATTATTCCATTCTGATTGTATTTTGAAGAAATTGAATATTAAAGGTCATGATATCCGTATTGGTTGGGGTAAGAATAGTCCTATTTTACCTGCAGTTATGGAAGCCATTCAACGTGATGGTGCTACCAGAAATGTATATTTAGGTAATTTGAATAATCCAACCAATGGAGAAACCATTACAGAATCAGAATTAAGAGAAGATTTATCATGTTATGGTGTTATTGATTGTATTAAGATTATTCCAGAAAAGGGAATTGCATTTATTCATTTCTTATCAATCTTAAGTGCAATTAGATGTGTTGCTAACTTACCATTAAAAGATAAATATTTAGATAAGAAATGTTTTTATGGAAAAGATAGATGTGCATTTATTACCAAGACTCAACAACATAATGCAGCCCAATATTTGGGATTAGCTCCAGGAATGGAACATATTGTCACTGCTGCTGATCGTGAATTTATTTCATCGGCATTAGTCCAACAATCGGCAGCTGCTGCTCAGATTGCTACCCAAGCTGGTGGTGCTAATAATTTAGGTAATCGTACTGTTTATTTGGGTAACTTACATCAAGATTCATCAGTTGAAGAAATTTGTAATGTTGTTAGAGGGGGATTATTACAAAGTATTAGATTTTTGAAGGAAAGACACGTTTGTTTTATTACTTTTATTGATCCAATTGCCGCTGCACAATTCTTTGCTATGTGTCAATTACATGGTTTAACTATTCATAATAGAAGAATAAAAGTTGGTTGGGGTAAACATTCTGGTCCATTATCTAATGCGTTATCATTAGCTGTTTCTAATGGAGCTTCAAGAAATATTTATATTGGTAATATTGTTGATTTTGATTATTATAATCCACAAAAATTAAGAGATGATTTTAGTAAATTTGGTGATATTGAACAAATTAATTATTTAGAAGAAAAGAATTGTGCATTTATTAATTTTGTTAATATTGCAAATGCAATTAAGGCAATTGATGGAATTAAATCATTTGATGATTATAAGAATTTAAAGATTAATTTTGGGAAAGATAGATGTGGTAATTTACCAAGACAATTCCAAAATCAAAATAATAATGGTAATAATTCACAACATTTAGGTGGATTAGAGAATAGTTCTTCAAATTCCTTTTCTGATAATGAATTTAATAACATTGAAGACCAACAACAACAGCAACAACAGCAACAGCAACAGCAACAGCAACAGCAACAGCAACAGCAACAGCAACAGCAACAGCAACAAGCTGGCAATATCATTGATAACGATATGTAGGCAGTTCAACTTCTGTTTTGACTATTACTTCATCCCATTGTGCTTTTTTTACTTGGTTATCTTCAAAAGGGTTTAGTTTGCTTTTATTTTGGTTTACCTATTTGGTATTTTTATTTATTGCTTTTCCTAATAATGATTTACTTATTATTTAAACGGTATTATTACTATTTATCCATTTTACATATAAACTTACATACAAACATTTCATTCATATTTGAGGATTTCCTTCCACTTCTCGGTGGTTTTATTTCCTTCTTTTTTATTTGTTGATTGGCAATTATAGAAAGGTGATTTTTAATGAGGAACTCATATTCTTGAATCTCCCAAATTGAACACTCTGCTGCTGATTATTAAAACAAACAATTCAATATTTTATATAATTATTTCAATTTTCTTTCATTTGTTTATAGCATTTTATTACTAAAAATATATTTATTGATTATTCTTAAAACCTTGGAATTACTTTAATAAATATCATCATAAAGAAGAATACAATTGCCAAACCAATTGAAACTTTAATTAAAAATAAAACCCCAATTTTCCCACCAGTTTTATTTTCAAGATAATGATTTAAATTTCGATCAATTACTTTAAATAAACTTGTATTCTTAATAATATTATCATTTGTTTCATTTAATAATGATAAATCTTCACCTAAGATTTTAGAACTAAATTTAACAGCACTTGTTTTTAATGTTGATGTTAATTCACTTAATTCGTTCATTATATCTTCTTGAATAGATTCATGATATTCATTTACTTTTGATAAATCTTTTTCAGCATCTAATAATGATGATGTCTTACCACCTGATAATAATCGTTTACGTAAGGATTGTAAATCTTCTTCCTTGGTTTCAATTCCTTCTTCTCCTGCTTGTTTTGATTCTGTTTCTGGAGTATTCCTGGAATCATTACTACTGGTAGATGCTGATATTGGAGCGTTTTGTAATTCAAATTCGTTGATTAATTTTGAATTCACGTAGATTTTCTCATCTAAGATATTTATATACAATTCATTCAACTGATTGCGCAATTCATGATATGATTTATTATGTTTATGTTTATCTAATTCTGTATCTAGATTAGATAGACTTTGTTTGATTTGTTGGAGTTTGAATTGGTTGACATATGGGGATCTTGTTATTGGTTGTGTTGCCGTTGATGATGATTGCAGCAGTCGGAAAGTGAGTAAATCTGGGATGTCCAATGATTCTAGTTCTTGATTGTACTGATTTAGTATTGATTCGATTGTTCGTATTGATATCTGTGACATTGGATGTTGACTTTAAGAGTAAATTGATTTGGTGGTTAAGTTATAACTCTCGCCAAAAAAAAGTCAAAATAAATATTTAAAGATTTGCGCAAGGCAAGAACAGAATCGATTTATATGATGTTTGTCTGGATAATAAATCGATTACAAAAGAGCTCATACTAAAACTACAAATCGATTACAAAAGAGCTCATACTAAAACTACTAGAAGAATAAAAGAATGTCAGCCCAACTACTATCAAACAACGATCTACGGAAAATATTCTCTACGAATATAAAATGATCGTGGTTAGCGAAAAAGGCGTTTAATAACTCTAAGGATTCTAAGAAAAACTGAATGAACAAAAGTGTCATTGACATATTGAAAGGTGACAATAACTGTACCTAACAACGGCGTCTAGACTGTTACGGTTTAATATCTTCTTTATATCCTATTTGAGAAAGAAGAAGAAGAAAAAGAAGAAAAAGAAGGAGAGTTTAATTTTTTTGTTTTCAAGTACGAAGGATAGATGAGATGAAAAAATGTTTTTTTGGTATTTGCACGTCTCTGGTTGTTAACGTTTTTGGTTGCAAAACTCAGTTCAATGAAGCATCTAGGAATTGCGAATGGACATACCGAGACCGACCCGCTTTTGCAATACATATTTTATTAGATCTTATATAGGATGGATTCTAGAGAATAATATATAAAATGGGAGTCCCGAATCAGGGTTAAGTAGAAATTGACATTGCCACTCCGAGGATTTGACATCATTATATCCATCGCATAGCTTTTGTGTTGTTTCAGTTGAGTGGTTTTAGGGCACCTTGGGTATTGAGCTGCATTTATTAAAGCGTGTCTATCAGCCGCATTTATAAATACGGGATCTGTCTTTCGTGTACTATGCCGTCATAAATTTTGCCAGGTTGCCTCAACTTATCGGTTCTGGAATCTTATTAACTTCGATGAGGAAGGAAAGCTAATATATCCGAATCATACAAGTTTGATCCGCTGGATGAATTCTTTTTCATTTGCATCCACATTTAGCTGGAGGTATTTAATGTTATTATTCTTACTGGAGACCTTAGAAGGTGTATCTTGTAGCAGGTAGATCCATTCTAGTTTTCTATTTTGTTTGGTAATCCCGAATTGAATACGTTAGATTTGATATTTGGAGAAGTTGTTTGACTAACTTCAAAAATTTCATGCTCATGGACTACATCTTAGTAAACACCATGACATCATTATACACTGGTGTTCCCATAATATGTCTTGTGGAATGCGTTAAATCCGTTAAGAACCGAGCTTGAAATTTTTGATTCACAACGTTGTTTTACCGGAAATATCAATAGACGTCTTCTCCATTGTCTAAGAATTATTTTTTATGTACACTGCTGCAAAAGAAGCCTAAGTCAGATGAGATCAAAAAAAAATATTCTTCCATCATCGAACAAAGGAACATACCAAGAAATAATTATTTTCTTGAGCCAAATGAGAATGTGAAACTTTTTTGTTTACATTTTGTTTTGGGTTGGTTATGAAGAAACCACACAGCCACTGTGTTGCAAACCATACACAAAGTTACATACACATGCAGAGTAATGTTAGGGGTGGGGCAAACAGTCGTTCCCGAAATTTTATATATGATTCATTTTAAGAAAAGCAAAGAAAAGAGATGGTTTGCATGTGTAAAGCATAATTAAGATCTTTCGGTATCGAGTCAGTCGAGGAGTTGTTCTTGGAACATTTTTATAATTTCTATTGTTTATTTTGAAACGTGGTATTTTCAGTCGCATCTTTAAAAGAGACGACAAATCCACGTAATTCACATTTTAGTTATATGTTTTCTTTATCAATCAATCAATTACCAATCTTAATTTTATTATATTTATGTGCAATTTATTTCTTAATAAGAAATACTACTTAAATCATTAAATACATCATTACGAAGAGAAGCTAGACAGAGCTTGTAATTACTATCCAACACTTTAACTACTATTCTAAATACAGTTAATAGGTTGCAAGTAAATACGTAAGATTAATAGAGGTACCGACAAAAGATCAGAGTAGAGGAAAACGATCATGTTTATCCGATCAGGATGAAACGTTACACAGAAACGAATGGTTTTAGGATTATTATTAGCGAGTACACTAAAAAATAAAACCGAATTAATTGTAATAATTTAATAATAATGAAATCAATAAAAAAACTGCAAAACTATAGATCAACCCTTTCAAAGAAAGGAAAACATGTGGTATCAATAGGACAATAGGAAATAGAAAATGGAGCTTAGCGAATGGGAAGATATTGAAATGGGGACAAGGCAAATAAATATTTTCAATTGACCTGGGAAGGTAAAAACTTGAATCACTAGTATCAAACATTTAAGTGGGATCCAATCCTAATTGGAAACAGTATGTAGCCTGTTTATCTGTTAGTCAATTACATTGACATCGTTTGGATGTTGCAATGAAAAAATAAAATTTAAATTAATCGTTGTCCGTCGTTCCCGTTACTGACGTTACTGTGGGCGTTTGAAAACTTTTATATAGCAATTTTGAACCGGGGTCAAGGGTAAAAAAAACAAGAAATATAAGCAATTGAGGTGGGTAGCATAAGTCATTGTACTTAACCTAGGAAACTCATTCCTAAAGTTCTGAAAATATTCTTGGTATTTTCCCTAACTTCATTAACAACGAAACCTGGATTAATTTGTTCTCTCGTTCCCTCTTGTCGACGAGAACAATTGGCTTTGTTTAATAAAAATTGCTAATGTCCGCTATAATGATCAATAAAGAGTTAGGCTTTGGAACTAAAACAAACCACACGATACACATCACAATATCTAATCAATGGGGAACGGTTTGTGTCACGTGCTGTTCCCCCTAGTGATAGAATTATTTTCGCTCCACAAAAAAGCTTAAATTGAAAAATGTGTAACCCCAAACCTTCACTTTATACTCCTTGGTTGTATTTTTCAAATGTGCTTATTTAATTTTCTATTGGTCCACTTGCTAATGACTTTGATAGATTTTGTTAATTGTATTTGGATATGTTCTATTGCTGTTGATATATATATATATACATATAGAACAGTTCTGAGATGGGAAAGAGTTCCCGATCACAAATTTATTTTTTAAACATGGAAATATGAATAAATTATTTTTTACAATTCGTTTTTCTTTTCATTATGATTATTTATAGATTTTTATTTTATTTTTGGTTTAAGATTTAAACTTCTGATGAAAAGTGTGATGTAGTCATTTATCGACTTTTTTTCTTGCGAGATTGTTTTATGTAGTAATTCACGTGGCTGTGTCTTCATTTTTTTGTAGTAGTCTGTTCTATTATTGAATTGATGTGTGATTTTGAATAATCCAATGTCACATATTCATTTCGAAAAGATGAAGATGGAAAAAGAAATCAGCGATAATTTTTGAGACATCTAAAATTTTATTTTTTGAGTTCATTATTATTTTCTTGGTCGGCATCAATAAAAATAATTTTATTTTATTATTATTTAATGAAAAAGTGTCTGGTGTTTTTTTTTTTTTAACCACATAAATTAATGATAAAAGAACCATAAAAATCATTCTTTTTATTCTTCCTCTCTTCCTGTTTTAAAAGAAAAAAAAAACTTTTTCCATTTTCTCTTTTCCTTTTAGAAAAACTTTCTAAATATAAACCAGACAGTTTTAGTCAGTCAGTCATTTATAATTAATATATATCAATTGTATAATTGCTGAAAGGGGATTAAGCATAAAACCATCAATCACTTATTGACAACCAATTGTTATAAAATATATATACTTACACTCATACTTACATATATTACTTCCCCCCCTATAGACAACAAACACCCCCTACACATTCACTCAACAGTCATTTTCATATTCATACTTTGAATGTCCTTATAATATACACCTAGTTATATAATCATAATCAAAATACATACATAATGAAGTCAAGTTTATTACTTCTTTTGATACCACTAATACAGCCAATCTATGCTGATGTTTGGGTAGATGCTGGTTGTTTTGCTAAATCTGATGTTGACGCAACTGGTGGTAAAGTCTATCAATACCAAAGTTCGGGATATTGTCAACAACAATGTCTAGGAAAAAGAGTTGCAGCAATGATCAATGGTAATGAATGTTATTGTGGTGATACTGCACCTACTAATAAAGTTGCTCTGAGTAACTGTAATATGAAATGTGATGGTTATCCAGATAATATCTGTGGTGGATCCAATTATTTCACAGTTTATGTGAATCAAGAAGCTGATGATGCAGGAGATAGCAACTCAAGTTCATCTAGTAAAGGCCAAACTAGTTCAAAGACTTCAGCCACTAGTCAATCTTCTTCAGATGGATCATCTTCTGAACCATCATCAGTTCCAAAAACAACGGTATTATCCACTGTCACTTCAGGTAGTGAACCTCTGGTTCTTACAAGTACCATTTTCTATACCCCAAGTACTACCGCAAGTCAAACTGGCACACAAACAAGTTCAACTTCAACTAGTGATAGCAGTAACAAAAATTCAGATAATTCAAAAAATTCTAAACTTTCAAGTGGAGGAATTGCCGGGGCAGTAGTTGGATCAGTTGCAGGAATTGGTTTAATTATTGGATTGGTTTTCATATTCCTTCGTTGGAAGAGAAAGAGAGATGACGAAGAATTTGATGATATTTTTACATTATCTGGTCCTAAAAACGATGGAGGAATGTCACAACCTCCAACATTAGATCCAAATCCATTCCTCATGTCTGGTGGTTACAACAATTTCGACACATCACAACAAAATCCTCGACTACAACCAAATTCAAGAGTCGTGAGTGCAGTATATGGTCATGATTATAAGAATAGCAGTAGTGGTGGAAGTGCAGGTGAACCATCATATAATGAACAAAGTGATGTTGGATATAATCTGGATCCAAATCATGGAATGCCTGGTTCTCCTCCATATCCTACCCATGGCGGTTATATACATCCAGATATGATGCAACAACCAGAACTTGGAAAACGTAAATTAAGTGCTGGATCATTACCTGATATGATAACTAGACAGCCTGGAGGATTAAAAGTGGTAAACAATTAAATAATTCTTTTTTCTTATAACTTTTTCATATAATGTTTTAGAGAGATCTCCGGTTCATATCATATTATTACTATTACTAGTAATTAAGGTTCTTTATTTTTATAGTGTTTACATAATTAGATATCTATTATTAATTAATTCTACAGTATTGTCGTATAAGTGTTTATGCAAAGTGTAATTACATCAATTCGACTAATTACATTGAATGTAATTCATTTCATAGTGATTCGTACATCTGTTTCATATTTAATTTAAGTGTGTTTCAGATTTGTTTCAAGAATTGGTATGGAGACTCGTCGCGCGTTACTTGTCAAAATTATTTTTTTCGTTTCTTTTTTCGTTTTGTTCAACCTTGAAAAGAACTGTTTGTTTACATTGTGAATTGTAACTGGGACAACAATGAATATATTATTTTCTTCAATCTGCAACACTAAATCTCACCTACATAAAAAATAATCTAATTAATATCAATCTAGAAGCTTAGCCCCTTCATAAAATTAAATATCTATCCCTTTCATCTAGATCAATTGACAAGGGCCCTGAAGAAATAGGGAAATTTTGCAACAGTTTCTCCTTGGCGTATAAGGGTCCACATAGAAGAAATATAATATTTTGCATTATAAGACATATATTTCTTGTCCGGTTCACAAAAAGCCAGGCGAAATTCTATCAATTGAACATTGGCAAAACCTTCGCCACTACTTGGGGAATGTAATTGCACCCCTGTTTGATCAAGAAAACGAATTCGGATACGGCGGTATTGAATTCAAATAGAATGTGAAAGCTCCTTTTTGTGTATTTTAACCGATCAGTTAGTTTGTTTATAATTTGTTTATAATCGTTTAAGAACAGATGCATTGAGGCGTGTAGGCTATTGTTGTTGTGAAATGCCCGTGGTGGTTGGGATCACAGAAATTCCTAGTTTGGGAAATGATCAAATTTAAGCAACAAAATAACTTCTTACCCGAGACAGTGGGCTTTTACTCTTCTTACCCGGTGGTTCAATTGTTGATATCCCTGGCTAATGTAGCTACATTCCAAAATTGATTAGGAAATAGCGCTTACTAAATACGTAGGAATTATACTTCAACTCTAAGCCGCTTTGATAACCATTCATTTCTTTATACTAATTGCCCCATGCTATCGGTTAAAACTAAATACTTAGCTCGAATCTGTTTTGCAAGTTCTTCTTAGTTAATCGTGATCTCGGCTTCGATTGGTTTAACCTTCAAACTTAATTTCAATTTGAAGTGTTTGCTTGTGATTTCACATTTCTCTAAAATTTTCGCAGAAATATTACAAGTAATTTGCAATCATTTTCTCTCTACATAATTTGGCCAGAACGCTTACGCCAAACGGTTAGAAAAGTAAAAGACAAGAGTAAATAATTAACTTCGATAGAGATAGTCGTTGTCCGATATTACGATTCATTGAAGTTATTTCAAATGTAGGATTCGCGGAGTTGGACTTCTTCGTTTCATGCCAAAATTACGTCCCTGTACTAATTTTCATAACCTACATTTTATTTAACCGACATGGACACTTGGATAACGATCCCCTTTGTTGGCTACGTTGCGTATTCTTTTAAATTCAAGATACCGCTTCCTTATCAACTCTCAACCACTGAGTTCAAATTTGAACGGCTTCCAAAATTTTTGGTTGCAGCCAAAAAAAATCAATCACGTGCGCTTGTCCAAAGTTTAGGGCTCCAGACCTGACTGAAAAATTAATACTACTATCAATTTCCCCCCTAACAAAATTACTATGGGTTCCGCGCACTGACGATGATGCTAACGAACAAAAAAAAATTTTCAATACAACTTACAATTGAAATAAAAGTTATTTTCTTCTCTCTTTTATTATACCAAATACCAATTAATAAACATCATCAATAATGTCTGGTTCAGGTGCTTCCGGTAACAAATTCCGTATGTCTGTATGTGTGAACCCTTTCGACTAGACTGAAATATTGTATTTTGAAGTAGAGATTATAGAGAGAATGGGAGATTAGTGAATATTTAGGGATGAGGGCCATGAAATGAAATAGAAGTGGATTAGTTCGAGATGATAGGGCAGATCATTAATAAAGCATGTAGTTTTTGAAAGAAACCGAAATGAATCGATACATGAAGTGAAGTAGAGGATTTATATATCTTGATATCGAGATACAACCCATCTCAAGATGACCAACTACCAATTTATCTTAATGTGAAATTTTAAATGAATATATTCGAATCAATAATCGAATCATAAAAGATCATATCAATAACTGAAGTAGTGAACAAACTGTGAATAAATGTATAAAGAAAGTAGCGAACTCAACTTTAGCTGTCCCCATCCCATCTCGTAAATATATGTCTTTAATTATACAAATACAATATTATCATTTATTCCTGATAATAACATCATACTAACAAAATTATATATAGTTAGCTTTACCAGTCGGTGCTATCATGAACTGTGCTGATAACTCTGGTGCCAGAAACTTATACGTTCTCGCCGTCAAGGGTGTCGGTGCCAGATTAAACAGATTACCAGCCGCTTCCGCCGGTGATATGGTTATGGCTACCGTTAAGAAGGGTAAGCCAGAATTAAGAAAGAAGGTTATGCCAGCTATTGTTATTAGACAATCTAAACCATGGAGAAGAAAGGATGGTGTCTATTTATATTTCGAAGATAATGCTGGTGTTATTGTTAATCCAAAGGGTGAAATGAAGGGGTCTGCTATTACTGGTCCTGTTGCTAAGGAATGTGCTGATTTATGGCCTAGAATTGCTTCTAACTCTGGTGTTGTTGTTTAAATGTATAAATGTACAGTATAGTTAGTTTCTTAATATAAAAATTATCACGGATTTTCAATTACTTTACAAAAGTTTTCGTAAATAATTACTACATAAATTGTCGATATATATATATAAATCATAAATAAGTTTTCTCTACTTCTCTGCTACTACTACTACTTTTCTTCATCAGTCACAGTTATACTAATATCCCCATTATGCGTCGTCGTCTCTACATGCCTCTTCACCGACCCAGAATCAACATCCCCCTCATGGTCTCCTTTTTGCCCATCAAGTACCGGTCCCTCATTTATGTCAGTAGGACTAGTGGCATCATATGTCGTAGGATATGGTAATCCAATCCCGCCCTGTTGTTGTTGTTGATGTTGCGGTTGAGCGACGAAATATCCCGGATATTGCTGTTGTTGTTGACCAGGTGAACCTGGCATGGGTACAAATTGTGGTGGAGTGTTGGGTTGAGGTGAAGATGGGAAATATTGCGGTTGGACAACAGGCAATTGTTGCTGCTGTTGTTGCTTTTGTTGTTGATCTTGTTGAGGGGGTTGTGTTGTTGGGGTTATTGTTTGGGAAGGCATTGATGGGGTAATTGTGTAATATTGTTGCTGTACTGGGTCATAAAACTGTTGCGCTTGTTGTGGAATATAATAATGATATCCGGATGGTGGAGTGGCATATTGTGAACTTGGTTGAACTAAATGGGCACCCGGGCGGATACTACTGGTGATTGAATCGGTGGGGACGACTTGATATCCCTGATATGGTTGAGGAGCTACTTGATGTTGGGGTTGTGGTTGTTGTTGTTGTGGGGGGAGTTGTTGCACCGAGCTTCTGGGAGTGATTGCTTGTTCACGTTTTGGAGTATCAACATATGATTCAACTGGAGTTATTATTGTTCCGTCACTATTTATCATATTAGCAAGTCTTGGGGATTGACTATTCTTTTGTGAAAAAGTTGATGATAATCTATTGGCATTAGCAATAGATGTTGCTTGTGATAATGGTCTCTGCCTAGGAAGAGGATTTGTCCCTGAAGTTGAAACAGTCTTGAGTGATCTTGATCTTGAATGAAGGGTAGTTGAAGGAGTTAGAGAAACAGCCCCGTCAGCATTTGCATTTCTACCTATTGTTCTAGCTCTTGAACTTGGAGTTGGTAATCCACTAAGTTTTTTGATATCATCATACCAACCAATCATATTTTCATAAGTATCAGTTTTAAAAGTCCAATTATGACTTCTATGAATTAAACCACTACTCAGTTTTGATACTAAATAAAATTTATAAGATCCAGTTGGTTTGCCATCATCTCGAGAATGTTCGGTAACAGTACAAGAATCAAGTGAAAGTGACATTACTGGTTGTGGATCTTTCTTTCTATCATTAGATTTGAATTCATGAATATAACTACAAGTAAGGACATACCAACTTGTAGAATAATTCTTTAAATATTTTGATCTTCTATCAAGATATCCTTGTCTAACTGAAACATTTAATCCTGAATTAAAATTGGGGATATTTAAATCATTTAATTTTCTTCTTGGAATGGATAAATCTATAAATGTACCATTCTTTATTGTGGAAGTATTATTACTTACAGCTGTTACACCCAAATTAGCAGAAGGTAAATTTCTAGAAATAAAAGCATCATATTCAAAAGTAGTTTCTTTACTTAAAAACCCATTATTTAAGTTTGGAATTAAAAAAGTTGGTAATGTTGAATTTTCATTACTGATTAAATTTAAAAACATTGATAAATAATTTTGAATTTCACCAACAACAATTGATTCTAATTTCCCACCTGATGATTGTAAATTGGCAAAAGCATCATAAAGGTAATTTTCTTCAGTCATTTGTCTTTTTAATTGACGATCTAATTTAATTTTAACTAAATAAGGATCATTTTTACTATTTTCAACACCATCACTATGACCAGTACTATTTTTATAATCAAGTTTATTACAAAATTCAATTGCTTTATTGTATTGAGATATTAACAGTTGAGTTTCAGCTAATTCTTTACCTAAATTAGTTTTAAAATCATTTTGTAAGTTTTTAATTTCTTTAATTTTAACCAATAAATCTTTCCTTAATTCTTCTAATTTTGGTATAATGATATTATTAATATCTTTTAAAGTTTTTGAAGAATTTGAAACATTTTGCAGATGATATTTTGCCAAGATCGTAGAAACATCTTGAATTGATCCATTACCAACTGGTAAGAAGAATCGATTGATAAGATTGGCATCTTCTTTATTTAAGCCATTAGCTGAGGCTGAAGTATTACCAGATGATACGGAATTGTTAGATGATGGATTATTAAAACCAATAGCTTGTTGTAATCGTAATTGTTGTCTTACAATTTCTCCTTCTACACTTGCATATTCTCTTAAGTATGTGACTAATTCTTTAATGATTGCACGATAGGCTTGAAATCGATTAGCCATAATTTCTGTAGGATAATCATTGATGGTGGTAAAATTAAAAGGTAGTGCCACTGTCAATGGGTTATGATGTTCATACGGCATTACTAGTTATGTTTGTGTCTGTCTGTGTCTGTCTGTCTGTCTGCTGTGCGTGTGTCTGTCTGTATAGTTGTGCCTGAGTAGTATGTAATGTATTATCTAATTGAAAGTATAAAGTGGTATTGAATGGTGGTTAAATACGTGTAATTATATAATTTAAGAAAGATGGGATTTGGTAAAGAAGAAAACAAGAAGAAAAAGAAATAAAGTTTTAAAAAAAATAATTTTTTGAAATTTTAACGAAAATTAACTGAAATTTAAATAACAATTGAAATGAACAACTCAACAATGAATGTGCCCTGGGGTTGTTCTTGTTCTAGTATGATGATGATGATTATGAAATTGATCAAATTCCAATACTCATAGTATATTTTTAGATGGGTGCTCTGAACTACAGTAAAATACTTTCTTATATACATATAATAAATGTATGTCATTCAATACGTAATTAGACGAAACAATTATAAATATGAATGTGGGTTGTGTGGCTTGGGGGAGAAGAAAGAATGAACCCAAATCAAAAAGAGAACAATAAGAAACATCACATCCCACACCACACAAATGCAACGGAACAGCCAGCCTTCCAAAAAAAAAAATATAACGTTCGTTTCCGTTTCAGTCGAATTTGTTTATCTTCCCTCAAATATCCACCAATATTCTATTTATTGTACTTGTACAGTTTATATATTCAAGATATCCATAAATTGTATCTTATAATATTATTACCATCAAACAAGTTGAAGCCATACTTGACGATGCATAAAGTATTAATACATGTTAAATATTATTTTTTCTGACTTTTTTTTTAGTCATGATTGCTTTAAAACATAGCCTTTAATTTTAATGACGAATGATGACTACGGAAATTTCGTCAAATATAATCTAGTATCAATAAGCCTCCACCTTCCATTAGATACAGTTATCAAAATCATCTGATATCAATGATGTCATCTATTTCAATTGGATATTTCATTAACATTATCGATACAAATAGTGGAGTATAAAAAAATGGTTCGTACCTCGGACTTGATTTTATCCTCGGAGTTTTTTACCCATTTACTCAAACCCTCCCAATGACCAACACATCCGTAACGACAACCAATACAACCACCAAAAAAGCAATCACACACAACCATTTAGGGGCAAGTCATAGTTGGATAAACTATGACACTGAGTCTCTATCGTAAAAGACTTAGATCCTCAGATTGGTGTAACCTTTCCCATCATACAGACCTTAGGACCCTGAGTTATTATCAAGCTCCTTCTCCTCCGGGCCTAAGTGCCTCTCAGACCCCTTCTTCTCGGGGGGCCCAAGTGCCTCCTACCTACTCATATCGTTTCTGGTAGCCTATACTGTTCACTCTACCAGTCGGATTAAGTAGTAGTAAACAGTTATCTTACACTTTAAGAAAACGCCTTCTTAACAAACGCAACATGTAGATACCCCACACAAAGTTATTTGAACCCAATACCACAATCTTGAGTTAGAATAAATACCACACCTCCCAGCTCTCTCAATATTATCCATCCTTTCAAAATTCTCTCTGTCACAATAAAAATCTCTTATCGAAATCCAGACGAATCACCACCATTCAAATCCTCACCTTCAAAATCTAAATTCCAATCTCCAACAACTTTCAAATTCTTCATCCACCTCCATTCAAATTCTTCAACCACCTCCATTTCACTTCCACCACCATCAAACTCCAACCTCCACCAGCATCTCCTCCTCCATTCAACTTCCACCACCACATCCACCTCCATTCGCCTTCTACCACCCCCATTCCATTTCCACCACCATCTACCACGAATCTCCGCTACGACCATCCACTTCCAACCTGGATCAACTTACTTAGAGAGCAACCCCTTGCCACCCAATATCATCGCATGTGGAACTACTATATAATTTATATAATTTATACCATCAAAACCGATATCCACCGCCACCATGGAGACTCTCCCGCCGCTACGATTGAAATGTCCATCAAAATCCATATCACCACCCATTGATGTTATCCATTGCCAAAAAATTGAAATCCCAATTTAAGTCTTGATCCCTTTCTTCATTTCTCGTTCCAATTTGGATTAAGTCAAACTTTCATTCCTTGAAATCAGATTGAAGATCCATCACACAAAACTAACCATTGGTCAGGTGGCTAATTCATATGAAAGGATTTACACTTCATTCATTGAAATCCAGTCAAAACCCTTTCTAAATTGCAACATCACCAACTGTTGATTTCCATGATTTTATTAAGATCTGATATAAGGATGATTGAAATGTGGTTTATATAAAATGAATGGAAATTGAAATCCCCAGATGACCAACTTAGATTAAGCAAAACCTACATCTCTAGAAATCAGAGTAAAAATCCATCATACAAAAATAACCATTGGTCAGGTGGCTAATTAAGTATGAAAGGATTCCACATGAAAATCCAGTCAAAACTCTCTCTAAATTGGATCACCAACTGTTGATTTCCTTGATTGATCTATGATTTGATATAAAGATGGTTGAAATGTGGTTGATTCAGAAGATAATGATTAACGGAATAGGTTGAAATAGGAAGATTGCTTTTGGAAAAGACAAAGTATACGAGGTTTCAACTACGTTTCTGTGGTTTGTACTTTAGCAGTTGAATATCTGTTGTTTAATTGTCTCAAATAGATTTGATCTCCTTCTAACAACTTGATACCAAGAATATTTCTTTAAGCATTCAATGATTTAACTGGATTGATTAAGAAGATTATTGATTGAATAAATTATTGAAGTGTATAGATTTCGTTGTGAACGGTAGATAAGAAAAGAATAACAAATGAGATAAACTTGATCTGGCGTTTAAAATTGGCTGCAAAAAATTTTTTTTAACCTCTGTTATTGTGAAACAAACACAAACAAAAAAACTAGACTGTCTCATATTAAAATTAGAGACCAGAAACATCTATACAAATAAGTTTGAGAAGTGTGATTAATATAATTTACTAAGCATAATCGATATTATAAAACCCTTGTTCATTTGATGTATTATGGATTCTAATCATTAAGTATATAAGACTATTAATAGTTCAATTTTACGGAACGTTGTTCACTTTTGTATTTGTTGTTCAGTTTAGGTAATAGAAGGGCATCACCCGACTTTTGGTATCACGTGCTCCTGAAGATAAGAAATCTACTGTAGAATCAGACAAGCCAAGGTTTCAATTTCATAAACAAGAAGATCAAGATTTCTTAATAGGATGGTTGAAGTAAGTTCTCAATTAGTCTAATCAAAATCGCTGTCAAGCTTATCGCGTGTCAAGGGCCTGTTGATTCTACAAGCTTATCACTAAATATCTGAATTACCCGGAAGGTCAACTTTATTTCCGAATGGCTACTACTGCGGATCCAGGAAGAACATCCGACTACAGGCGTAGCAAAGATGAAAGAATTACTGCCGCCCCCCAAAACTAAACATCAAACAATTCAATTGGAGGGGCATGCAATGAGGCACAAACAGGGCGATCAAAAATGATTATTAGAGGAAACTTTTACAATTAAAACGAACTGGTATCTTTATAGTAAACAAGCTAATTAAATCTAATTATACAATAATTAAATAAAAAACCAAATGACGAATATCATCTAGTACCAGCGGAAAAATGGGACCCCCTCCCTCTCTCCAACTCAACCAAAGTCTAGATTAACTTATTGATTCTTCCCTAAAATCAGATAAAAACCCCATCACACAAAGTAACCATTATCAAAGTGATAAATTTAGAATGGATAGAACTTTTCCTTTATTTTTTTTTTTTGATTTTCATGGCTGTAGCCATGAGGGAGAAATGCATTTACGCACGAGTTAACAGTGTGGGACTCGACCTTTCGGAAATACCCACTAAAACTCCCTTGAAACCACCCAGCGACCCATTAGAATCCATCATATAAACTAACCATTACCCCGGTTTCCTGGGTGGTTAATTCAGAAATGAATAGAAACTTTTGGGCCACCCATTGAAATCTCCCCCAAGATGAGCAATCTAGATTAAATAAAACCTTCTTCCATTAGATATGAATAACCCAGCACACAAACTAGCCGTTGATCAAGTGGCTAATTCAGTATGGAAGGATTAAACTGATCCATGAAATCGGGCCAACTCTCTCTAAATTCTTTCTTCACCAATTTTGTTGTTTTTTGAATGATTCTTTACTGATTTTTTATGTTCTGATATGATAATATATAGTTGAAACTTTGATGGATGATGGATGATAAATGATGGAGTATGGATGATGGAGTATGGATAATGGATGATGGAGTATGGATGATGGATGATGGATGATAGATGATGGATGAAGGATGAAGGATGATATTAGAGTCCATCATATGAACTAGCCATTACCCCGGTTGCCTGGGTGGTTAATTCAAAATGAACAGAAACTAATCCCCCATGGAATCTTCCAGATGGCAAATCTAGATTATGTCAAGCCTTCTTCCCTGAAATCAGATTTAAAACCCCATCACACGAAACTAACCATTGGGCAGACGGCTAATTCAGTATGAAAGAATTAAACCGATTCGTGAAATCCAGCCCAACTCTTTCCAAATTATATCATCCTTGGTTCTTCCTCTCAATTTTGTTTTCAAAAATGATCTTATACTTACTGATATGAAAGCGGCTGAAAATTTGATGATTGTGGTCGAAAATTTGATTTAAAAATAAGGATTTAAAGAAATATGGATTGAATGAATTTGATGTTGTTTTTAAATACTTCACTGGTAATGGACATCACATGATTTGATGAATAGGATGAATGATAAACGTGGTGGAATGTTGGGGAAAAGGTAACGAAGAAAAGATAAGGATTGAAGTTACATTTGTAATTTTGTTTTTGCAATCTTGGCGTCTAAAATTCGTGTTGCAAAAAAAAATTTTGTCGTGCGGCAATCAATCTTGTGAGATCTGATTCCAACTGATTCATTATCTCTGTTTTATAATATCTAAATAAACCGTCATTTCTCTCTTAATACTGCTATAGAATCTCATGATGATCTTCTTCATTCATGCCAAGATTCATATTTCTTCATTTCCATATGATTGGAATTTACCTTATATCTACTTAAGACCAAATCTTAGTACGCGGGCAAACCTTTAGTTTGAGTCAAATTATAGGTACTAACTTCTATATTTGGCAACAGATTGTTCGATTTCGTACTTTACATTATTTGGCCTTGCTGTCGTGCAACTTCACTTCCGTTAGGGCCCCCGGGTTTAAATTCAGCCGCTACGTGGATGATATTATTTCTTTGACACTTCTCTAGCAAAGCCTCTCTCAATCTTGAATCCATCTAATGTTGATAACCAGTAGATACGATCTCCATTATCGATGATTCTATATGGGCCTGCCCAACGTTCCTTTAACTTGTGTGATTTGGCTCCTATAACATTCTTGATTGGCTTATCCCATGTGAGAACATAATCTCCAACGCTGAGAGGGATAGCTATTTCCTTTTTGATGTCCTGGTAGTACTTGCTTTCTTGTCTGGAACGCTCCAACGTTGTGGAAGCTGATGCAAATTGATCATCTCGGAATGATAATTGTTTAAATCTAAACCTGAATAATTCTAATGGTAATAGTGGGATCTTCTTTGGAATAGGATTGAGTAGTAGATTAAGATCTGCGTAGCCCTGAAAACCATAAACTAAGTACTGAGGGGAGTAGCCGGTTGACCGACGGATATTGGTTCGATCAACCCAAGCAGTGTCCACATAATTTCTCCAATTGACATTCTTTGGCATCTTACGGAAAAATTATATTAATGGTTGGTGATTTCTTTCCAGCATACCATTTCCCATTGGATGATGTTGGATAGCAAATTTATGTGATATGTGATATGTTTATTTGATACAATAGTTTGTGACTGTATCTATATCCATAATGCATACTTGGTAGTTGCACGAGATGAATCAGGATTGCCTGAAGCCACCGTATTAGATGAATTAAGTGGTGCTGCCGTTGCTAAATTTATTTACACCCAAATCATTACACGTATTGGTTATTTCCGAGTACTTAAAACTGATCAAGGTTCCGAGTTTAAGAATCAATTCGTACGCACATTGGTGGAAACCAACCGGGTAGTGTAGATATAATGGAGCTACAGCTGTCATGTTCTTGTCATGTCTTTGACAAGTGTCGCATGTCTTGATGTGTACCATCAACTTTTCATATAACTGTGGTATAAAAAATGTTTAATTGATCATATTGAAAGCGTTTTGTACTTTCAAATGCCCTCTTAATTCATGTGTTGTAGTAAGAATTTTCTCTAACTCTTTAGGATCGGTGACTACCTTTCGGGAGAAGCCTCCTTTGGAACCTATCTTATATAAATCTTTACCATTTAAGTAAAACTCATAGATAAATTGTTTCCGAAGACGCGGTGGGTCACAATATTCATTTGGTACTTGTAGTGTTTGCCAATATGATTTAATTGCATTTAAACTAAATTTTCCATACTTTGGACCTGAAAGTTCAACTGAATTGCTTTGGGCCGTCAATTTCTTTCGCATATCTTTCATGAGAATAGTTACCGGCAAAATGGGGTTTGTAGTATCTGTTTCTTGGACCCTACTTAATGCATCTGCGATGACATTCTTTTTCCCATCTATGTGGTGAATTTCATAGTTAAACATTCTAACAAATCTAAGCCATTTATAAAGTCGATTTACCGCGTGCCTGTTCGTGAGTGGCTTATCTAAAAGGTCTATTAATGCTCGATTATCGCAAAATATCGTGACTACCCCATGATATCCAACTAATAAATGATGTATACTTTGCAATGTGTTGTAGATCGCCATCAATTCCTTTTCACATATTGTAAAATGTTTGGTTGAATCGAAAGACGTAACATGTTGGGTGTGCGGGAATGCTAAACATAAATCGGCCGACTGCAAGATTAAAGCGCTGTTAATCAAGAAGGGATTATTAAAGGAAGACAACGGCAAGTTTTACGGTTCAGAAGGGACAGAACTCAAACTAGATAAAGGAGAGTACCTTGTCAGAAAGTTCAGAGACAAGTTTTCCCAAGGCCAGAGCGTAGTGCGAGGCCAGATAATCATATCAACTGGTGCAGCGTTGTCAGAAGGACCAAGTTCGGGGTTCTGGTTAATACCTGGGATTGTACCAGCACCTTGTCTTGAGGTACCAGTGGTTGGTTCAGGTTTTGGTTTAGCAGCTTTGGTTTTATTTGTTCCAATAGGATTAGACATAATTAATTAATTGTATTATTTTATGATGATGTAAAATAGCTTCTAAATTTGTTGTAATATTTGGGACTTTGGACTCATATTTATAGTAAATTTTTTCCAAATCACAAAACTGGCCTGACTTACTGTTCCAGCATATCAAGTAACTTTATGTATCCCAACTGATCACCATCATACCTTTTTATTATAACCTGACTTCCGACATCCGATTTTCTAGCAACCCCGACAATTTATTTGTCTTACTTTGACTATGATGTTCTTTATCACATCATTTACTGTGCGTTTATGTTCATGTCAGTACCTATTGCTTTTATTATGACCACACTCACAATTATCCTTGCATAAGGCATGACTTTTCGTTTCATGTGTTGCTTTTGTGGACTCATCCTTGCATTAAGATTTTTGTATCTTGGATCTGACCATATCTAAACTGTTGTCATGATTGCTATCATCTGACTTTCATCATTAGCTAATGATGCATTGGAGCTACTATGATTCCAACAAAATCTTTCCACATTATGGGATCACATGGACTAAGTCTCCTAATTTGTAATCACTTCTCTATGATTATTCAACCCATGCTTCTATTTGACCACGACCTGATTCTGTCTTTAATCTTCTGGTCTTATTTTGACTACCTGAATTTGGGATAGGGGAATTCCTGTTAGGAAATCGTACTATGAATGCAGGTATCGTCGTCCCCCCATCCCCCCCCCGCTTTGTTGAATCCCGGCATCAGCGAATAACCTTACTTCATAAACTCCTATTTCTTGTGTATTAGTTTATATCTCGTGATTTTGTTTCTTAAAACGTTTTCTGTGCTTGTCCTATTGACTTCTGTTAATATGATTTGCACGCAATTTATGTGATCTAAGAATCGATGTATTTGGATACCTTGACTCACCATTCCTTCCATCCTTGGCTATTAGAGTCTAGACTTCATCTTAGCGACTTGTTAAAAGGAACAGTTCGAACAGCTAGGGACCACCAAATTATTCCTGTCGTGCGGCAATCACTCTTGTGAGATATTTGATTCCAACTGAAATATACCATTGACCAGCAACAGTAATTGACCTGATGATTAGGCGCAAAATATAGAACTTTCCGGATATATGCTACAGATGTCGAATAGCATTGATTCCCGACTTAGACTAATCTGTTAACTTAATAAACATTCATTTCATATACAATTTCCTATAAATTATTCTTTCTTTCCATATACCTCTTTTATAATATCTAAATAAACCGTCATTTCTCTCTTAATACAGCTATAGAATCTCATGATGATCTTCTTCATTCATGCCAAAATTCATATTTCTTCATTTTCATATGATTGGAATTTACCTTAATATTGTTCGATTTCGTACTTTACATTATTTGGCTTTGCTGTCGTGTAACTACCAATTCCTGGTTAACTTAACCGAAGTGAAGTGAAGTTACTATACGATATAATTTTCTTAATTAGTAAATAAATTCTGGAACAACTGTGAAACAAGATCAATCTTAAATCTCTTTTCTTAAGATCTCAAGATGGAAGAGACAATAAGAATTAATTACAAAGGATAATTCATCTAAGTGATATGTCTGGGAATGATATTATAAACCTTCTTAATGCCTTGTATTAGTTCTATTCAGTGCTATCATTATATACATCAATTTCTATATGTTGTCAAATAAACTCACCTCGAAAAATAATAGCTTGATAATTTGTTTATTTGAAACGTTGATACTGTATATAATTTTGATACTGTATATGATAATAAGTTTCAAATAAACAAAGTGTCATCAGGATAGTAGACCACTACAGATAGGAAGGGTCATGTGTGGTAAGGGGGTTATGTACATGCAAGTCTCAAATAAGAACCTATATTCAACATACAGACACTAGGGTATACTGTATACACTTCTCGTAGGAGTAAACATCTATCTTATATTGCAAGCAAAATGAACAAGCAATGCAGCTATAAATCGTCTACACAATCAAGGTGTAAACACCCCAGGAAAAGGTATTTGAAATCTATCACAATATTCCTGAGTTTGATTATTAGGATAATACCTAACCTCCTTATTCTTATCGATATTATCCACTTTTTGAAAATTCTCCGGGATAATGAAATCCTCTTCTGGTAACTTATTCAATTTATTCAATTCCAAATTCACTAATGGAAGTAATTCATTCACTAATACTAGATTATATGGATCTTGAATGATTTTTCTCGTGTTTATGGATTTAAAATTCATACTATGACTCAGGAGGTAGTTTTCAACTGTTTTGTTGATTGCAATTGATCGTTTACTGTAATATAACTTGCCTGGATTTTTGTAAGATGGATGATCCGTGTGTACGATTTCAATTTCTCTGGATGTGATGTGATGTCTTGCTCGGCCACATTTGTCAAGTGCTAAGAATTGGGTAGTGGTGGTGGTAGTGGAAAGTCTTTTTGATGTTTGTTGTGGTGGTCTGATTGGGGATACATGAAGGGTTTGTTCGAATTGCTTAGCTTGGGATTGATCTATATCTAAGGGAATTTCATTTTCGGACGTGCTAGGTCCTTCATCATCCATATCAAGTGATAGTTCATCTCTATTCTTTGAAATCGGCAATTCATCATCCATATCTAATGAAATTTCAGCCGCATTCTTAGTAGTAGTTTCTGGTTCGTCCATATCCAATTCTATAGCTTCTTTATTCTTCACATCTCCCTTTTTCCCAGAATCATTCTCTTGTTTATACTCAACAATCGCTTCAAACTTAGTATGTAAATGAGCCGAATACCAAAACCTAGGTCTCAAATAATGCAAAAGAAACTTATTCAAAGGACTTCCTAATTCTCCCTTCTCAATATCCTCCCTAAAAAAAGGTTTTCGCTTCAATAATCCCGCCTTATTCCCATATACCTCAATCCCAATTGGCCAATCATGACTCAAAACCACATCCAAATCATGATTCATCATATACATCTTCACAAAATTATTCAATTTCTGATGATATACACTTCTAATACTCCAATTATCATACGGCACTTTTTCCACATATAAATCATTTTTCATAAATGTAGAATAATTAAATATCCCACTCCATCCACATATTTGTATCCCCTTATACCAAACACTCCCAAATTCACCAAGATAATAAATATTCGGAGCTACCCAACCTCCATATTTGAGTTCTTGTAAATATGACAGACATTCGTGATTCCCACCGATGAATATCGTTAATACGGGGGCTAGTTTCTTGCCATGGTAGTAGTCGGGGAAATCACCGAGCTTTTTATATTTGTTGGGGACGTTTAGGGTGGATAGGTCGGTGGGGGTTCTGATTGATTGGAAATCGCCACCAATTAGGAGGAGCTCGGTTTGAGACGGGAGGGTGGAGTAGATTTTGTTGAGTTCACCGTGACAGCATCCTTGGATTGCTATTTTGAGAGTGGGCATTGGTGGAGTCTGGTTGTTAGAGATTGGTGAATTTTGCTTGAAATATTTTTTTTGTTAGAGAGGCGTATGGGGAATCGATGCCCGTGGGGATAGTGACTGAGTACGGTATAAAACTACGAATGACAAGGTATAAATAAAACTAGTAGAATCGATTGTTACATAATAACATAAATATCCTATTTATAGAAGAAGCGAAATCCCTTCATTTAAATCTATAACTCCCCAAATTTTCTAGAATTTAAAGACATGTTCTTTAGAGTAACCTAATTCAGCTAAAGCACCAGTCAATTCACCTTGATCAGTTGGAGAAACCTTTGGACCAGAAATAGCTTGATATAAACCTGGAGGACCACAAACAAAAATCTTAACTTCATTACTTGGTTTATCTAATTCCTTTTCCAAGAATTGTTTAGTAATATAACCAACTTCACCTTCCCATTGTTCATCATCCTTCTTCTTATCAACGAAGTAAGTAACCTTAACTTGATCCTTATGTTTGTTGGCAATTTCATCAATTTCTTGCTTGATTAAAACATCATCGGTGGAAACATTACCAAAGATTAAAGAAACTTTAGTCTTATCAGCTGGGTTCTTAGTAATTTCATGTAATAATTGATAAATTGGAGTAATACCAGTTCCACCAGCAATTAAAGCAACTGATTTGAATTGATTTGGTTCATATTTCCATTTAACAACTGGACCTTTGAATGATAAAGTCTCATTTTCTTTTAAATCAAAAATATGACTTGACATTTTTCCACCTTCATACTTTTTGATAACAAATTCAATTGTACCTTTTTGTTCAGGATCTGAAACTGGAGTATATGGTCTAATTACATTATTACCTTTAGCAGTAACGAATTTAGTTAATAAACAAGAAGCAGTAACTAAACCAGAAATATCATCTTCACTCTTTAATTTGAAGATTAAATGTTTGGTGTTATGAGTTAATGGAATTGCTTTAATTAATTTTAAATCAACCCATTCATTATCACCTTTAAAAGTAATACCAGATTCATTAGAAATCTTGGTTAAGGTAGAATAATGATATGCTAAACCAATTGAAGCAGCAGCAACACCAACAATTGGAACTAAATATCTTGGATTGGAGATCTTGGCTAAGAATGGCATTTTTGTTGTTAAGATTGTTGAAGTTCTTATAAGCAGCATTACTAAGAAAGATTTTGTTGAAAAATTCCTCAATTTCTTACAAATGCAAAAAAAGTTTGGAGAAGCTCTCTTTTTCAATTGGCCTTTCTCGGGCCCAATTAGATTATATGAGGGCACGTGACAACAATAGAAAAAGATCAAATTCCCCCGGAGAGATTAACACATTATACCACCACCACATTAAGACATCAAGTATGCCACAAATAACGTAATGTACATTCTGTTTACTTTAAAGAATAAACCCTTCTAATGTGGGAAGGCCAAATACTAGATTCTTGGCTCAGAATTATATAGTATATTGCTGAAATCAGTATTTCGCTTTGAAGACGCAACACCCCAGTAATTTCCAGTGGTTTCGTTCTAGACTCACTTTGAAAGGTATGCTTATTTCACACAGCTCCTACTCGAGAAGTTACTTGAAATAGTAGTTGATAATGGTGAAGGAGATGAAGAACTCTATCTAGTGTCAAAATGTTAGAAATACAAAAATAACCCAAGAATGTAGTGGCGTCTATATGCAGGAGGATCCAATCGCCTTGAATGCCCCCTACCAAAGTACTCATACGTTGCTTCTAAACAGCAACGTTTCAATTCATCTCATTTCATTCATTCAATACACACACACATCAACACATCTCAATCAATGCTTCGTAATCGTTCCCATAAAGAACTAATCAATCTCTCTCGTCAATTAATCCAACCATTACTCCCCCACTTCCATAAAGGACAAGCCGGTAGAGTAACAGTAATCGGGGGAAATGAAGATTATACCGGAGCACCATTTTTTGCCAGTCATTCAGCAGCAATTGTGGGAGCTGATTTATCTCATGTCATATGTGAGAAATTGGCCGCACCTATTATCAAATCATATTCACCTGATTTAATGATTCATCCATATTTATTTGATTTAGATAATCCGGCAATTGAATTGAATAAATCTGATATTGAGCAATTTAAATCAGCGCAATTAAAAGATGTGATTGTTGAGAATAATAAATTGGATATTATTATTGATGAGATTATATTACCTAAAGTGAGTCAATTGTTGAGTAGGACCGATATTGTTGTTGTTGGACCTGGATTTGGAAGAGATCCACTTATGTTGAAATCATTGGTTAGAATAATTGAAGAGATTAAGGTTTTGAATAAATCGATAATATTGGATGCTGATTCTCTATATTTGATTTCGATTCATCCTGAAGTGATTCAGAATTATACAAAAGCGATTATAACTCCTAATGTGGTTGAATTTGATAGGATTGCAAAAGAATTAGGAATGGAACCAAGTATTAATGAATCAAATTTAGATACTTTAATTTCAAGAACTCAAGAAATGTCAAAGAATTTAGGTAATATAATCGTAATCCGAAAGGGAAAACTGGAAATCATTGCTAATTCGGAAAGATACTTGGTAAACGACTTCCCAGGATCAAGTAAACGAGTTGGAGGACAAGGTGATAGTTTAACTGGAGCAATTGCTACTTTTGTCAATTGGTCAAATAATTATAATGAAGAATTATGGGATGTATCATCATCCGGGGATAAGAAGATCCCGCTAAATGAAAGTAACTTGTTGGCTTGTTATGCGGCTTCAACACTTGTGAGATGTGCTGGTGGGAAAGCCTTTCGGAAATATGGAAGGGCTATGCAAACTTCAAATCTTCATGAATTCTTAGGCGAATCTTTCAATGAATTATTTGAAGATGCAAAACCAAATATGTAATTAATTTAACGTCTGTGGGGTAAGTACCGGTTTTTTTTTTTTTGCTGCTCTCGGATATGAATCTACGGGAGGGAGGGCAGAAGATTATGACCAACTCCCGCCAAGATTACTTAATGATTCAAGGGTTGTGTCATCTCTTCAAAGAATATAGAAACCCCCGGCTATTGAGTCATATAGCTTTCTTGTTTATAGTAGATAGTTCATGATGCAACGTAAACTAAAACCATTAGTGGATTGGCCCAATTAGGAAATTTAATCACGTGTAGTACATAGTTCCATAAAACCGAGGAACTAAAAATTTTAATTTTTTCTCAGGTGTCAATTTCTCCACCATTTAAAGATTTCACATTCCCACATTTCACTTAATCCCTTCTTCTACCAACAGCAGTAACAACTAACAAATCAACAATGGAAGCAAACTGTGGACCTTCAAGTGCATTACAGAACTTATCTAAACACACCCAAAGAGATAACTCTTTACAAAGACAACATCACCAACCACAACCCCAGCAACAAAATTCTATCCAGAATTTCCGACTGACAAATGGTGATTCAAGATTAAATAATGATTTCCAAAGATTCAACAACGGTAATGAATTTGCTAATGCGTTTATGAATCAGATGAATACTAAACCTGGTTTCCCCCAGCAGCAACAACAACCACTGTCAATACCGCAACAAATACAACAAACTGGTTGGGTGAATGATTTTTCCAATCTATCAATCAATAAGCCTACTCCACAAATCATGGCTCAGAACATTCCGGCGCAACAGAATAGTGATTGGCATCAGCAATTTATCCAGAATCAACAGACGAGTATGGTATCGCAACAGCAACAACAAGAGAATATGCAATATCAGATGACTCCGAATTATGCTCTCGGACAAGGATTCCGAATGAATATGAGAACTGATTTATCTACTCCAGTATATGCTCAACAATCTGAACATCAAGAGATACATAAGATAGAGCAACAACAAAAACAATTTGAGAATGAATTTGATGCGATTGAAAAAGAACTTCAAAATCAACATCAACAGCAAGAGCATACCATCCAGATTGATGATCCTGATAAGGAGAAATTCGCGGAAACGGCACGACAAGTAGAACAATCAATGAATAATATAAATTCCCAAAATATGGAAATGAAAGACAAATTTCAAAATTCCGATTTCCTTAAATTAATGAAATCAATCGGGAATAGACAAGTTGAATTAGAGGGGGATAAATTAGTAGATGTAATGTCTGGTGATGATATTCGTACCACCGGCTTGGGCTCTGCCAATCAATCAGCACAAGTCCTGGGAACTACCACTTTGTTGGACAATCATGGTATCGTCCATAATCCAATGTTTGACGATGATGGCATGACTATCCAACCGGTTCCCATCCTTGCTCCACAGGCGGTTGATCCTGAACTTGCTCATGAACAAAAACAAGACCTTTCTCAAGAAAATCGCCTACCTGATCCATTGGCACATATCCAAGATGGTCAATTAGGTGGGGATATATTGGATCCATTCTCGGCAGCGAGGATTGTGAGTGGAGGTCAGGTGAATATGCAAGATTGGTTGGATGATAGTGATGATGATGAATATATGTATAAAGTCCCCTCGAGGGGGAGGATTGTTGATAAGGCTTGGCAAGAGGTTTTCGATGATTATAGACATGATGATGATTTTCATTAAACGGACGGATAATAAGAATTGGTTATATTTGTATCATCGAGGACGGTTGTGAATAATAATGCGTTAATTTAGAAGAATATTGGACGGAATTGAATGGGTGGATAAGAGTTGGTTATCATTGATGTTTGCGAACAGTTGCGGGCCAATTGGAGAAAGCTGGACGGCATTAAGGAGGAAGATACTTTTTGTTTACATTGAAAGATATCCGGGTTTCGTAGAGGAATGCATGGGATATAAAGATTACGTATGAGTTAATAGCGTTTTTTAAGGAATAATTAATAAATATTTATTAAATTGATTCCGAATTTGTAGATTTCCTAATTAGGATGCACGATGACTCTATTTAACGGTGAACGTGACGATGACGATCGAGGAATCGTTATTGTTTTAGGCTATGAACAATAAAACGTTTTTAAGGCGATGACATAACGTTCGAGATGCAGAAAACATGTGACGTAATTTCGAGTTTTATCCCTCAAACGTTCCTCATCAGTTTATAAAGTTTTTTAACACAAAATTATTGTCTATGATATTAGACAATGTAAACTATGTTGTAATCTATATGTCATAGAACATATCAAAGATAGCTAGTTATTACATTCATTAGTGAGGTCTAGTTGGGGGATCGAATCTAGATCGGAAAGAAAACGAAAGCACCATGTGAAGACTCTGTAATATTCCGAGTCATTCTATTTATGAAGAGGGGCATTCACTCACCAGTCCCCTTATTGACTCATTCCCTATGATAAGCTTTCTACTACGGCCAGACGAGGCTTCCATAAAAAGAAAAGGTCATGAGATCGGGCATCGCACGATCCAGCGTCCCCATAAAGAGTTTTTCACTCTCAAAAAAGATCATTACATCATCCAACAGGAATAACCCTCTGGTGACAACCGGATTAATTAAGTTTCTTTTTTATGCACCTCATACAAAATATTCTGACACAAAAATAGAAGAATCATTTCCTGCATATAACGTTTCCTTACAATCACCACGAGACAATAAAAAAAAACTTCGAAGCTTAAAAAATAATTTAATACGTATAATAATAGAAACACACCCAACAAAGATAGAGAGAGCAAACAAAACAAAACGGTTTCAGACAGACAGTCAATAAAAAAAAAGAAAAGAACAGAAAATAATTTTTTCAAGAAAATTTAAATCGCCTTAAAAATTGTAACATCCATCTAATTCATTTTTGGTGTTCCCTTTTTCTATATAAACCTTGATATATCCCCCCCATCAATTCATTCATTCAGTTTTATAGAGGTTTAATTTATATTATTAAGTCAGACAGACATTATTTATTACATACAAACACATATACAACAAAGATGACTATTTCTACCCCATATCCAATCGCTAAACCATTTAGAATTGCCATTGTTGGCTCCGGTAATTGGGGAACAGCAGTTGCAAAATTAGTTGCTGAAAACACCGCCGAGAAACCACAATTATTTGAATCAGAAGTTAAAATGTGGGTATATGAAGAACAAATCAATGATCGAAAATTAACTGAAATCATTAATGAAGATCATGAAAATGTTAAATATTTACCTGAAGTTAAATTACCTACAAATTTAATTGCTAATCCTGATATAGTAGATACTGTCCATGATGCTGATTTGATTGTGTTCAATATTCCTCATCAATTCTTAAATAGAATTTGTAAACAATTAAGAGGAAATGTTAAACCTACTGTTAGAGCTATTTCATGTTTAAAGGGTTTAGAAGTTGGTCCTGAAGGTTGTAAATTATTATCCACTTATATTACTGAAAGTTTAGGTATATATTGTGGGGTTTTATCCGGTGCAAATATTGCTTCTGAAGTAGCAAGAGGTAGATGGTCCGAAACTTCAATTGCTTATAATATTCCTGGAGATTTCAGAGGTGATGGACAAGATATTGATGCTTTCGTCTTGAAACAATGTTTCCATAGACCATATTTCCATGTTAGAGTCATTAGTGATGTTGTCGGTGCTTCTATTGCCGGTGCATTGAAGAATGTGGTTGCTTGTGCCGTTGGGTTTGTTATTGGTGCTGGTTGGGGTGATAATGCAAGAGCAGCAATTATGAGAATTGGTATTAAAGAAATTATTAGATTTGCATCTTATTGGCAAGAATTTGGTATTACAAGTTCGTTACCTCCACATCCAACTACTTTTACTGAAGAAAGTGCTGGTGTTGCTGATTTAATAACTACTTGTAGTGGAGGTCGTAATGTTAAAGTTGGTAGATATATGATTGAGAATAATGTTGATGCTTGGGAAGCAGAAAAGATTGTCTTGAAAGGCCAAAGTTCTCAGGGTATTCTTACTGCTAAAGAAGTTCATGAATTATTGGTTAATTTTAATTTACAACATCAATTCCCATTATTTGAAGCTACTTATGATTTGATTTATAATGGTGGTTCAGTAGAAGATTTCCCTAGATTATTAGAAGCTGATGCCATGTGGTAGATTTAGTCCAGCTTAGTTTGTTTTGGTGATTTTTTAAGATTGCTCCGGGGTTTTCTATTGTTTTTTATTTTCTTCTTCCATTGTGTATATTAGTTGTGTTTTTTCATTTACATATTTTATAGAGTTATTATTATTATCAGGATTTACTTTTTATTATTCTAATTATTACACAGTACATGTTGATCAATGACACTGATCAACCCTTAAATATACTAGCAAGTTTTAACCAATGATATCCCAGTCAAAAAAGAAACCCTCAAAAAAATGCAACACATCGAAGCATCAGATCTGTAACAAGGGAGACAAAACAGATCGTCTTGTGACGTAACACTACAACCACCAGACACAATATTTTTTTTTTATTTTCTTTATTTATTTTTTGCACCCGCTCAATTTTCTTATCGCCCTCCCCTTTTCCGAAAATTTAAACACATACCCCTTATGCATCCTCCCCTAAAAAATCTCAATCCCACCATCATTAGACCCAGCAACATTATTCGCATTAAAATATTCACTACTACTAGTCACCCCATCGTCACTAAAATTCTCTCCCAAATCAGGACCAGTATATATCTTTCCCAGCCAACAATATTCTTTAAAACAAGCCTTACATTGATCTGACTGTTCTTGACCCAATCTTTCCTGTTGTCGACGGATAACAGCACATGCCAAACATGTAGGCCATTGGGTGTC